TCGCGAGACAGGCTTATCGAGCACTTGTTTAGGTTTACTGAAATTTTTTAACGATGAAAACATTTTAGCGATTCATAAAGTATGAATCCAGTTGATCCTGGAATTACATTACAACCAATCGGATATTTTAAGGACATGTTTACAGTTTATGTCAAGTTTGCTCAGAACCAGGATAATCATTATAAGTCAATTTAATATAATGCACAGAAAGTCGCTCCACTCCGATGTAACAAATTTAGTGTTTTTCTCCCCATTTTTAATGAAAGACTTAGGATACATAGAGAGAGAATAGAATAGAGTTTACATGAGAAGGAAGCCGGTAGGCTACACACTCAGTTCTCCAATGGCGCCTGTGTGATGTGAGATGCCCTGAGACTCTGACCATCTCATAAATGCTTAAAGCTTCAGTCCGGCGTCTTTGTCACCATCTCTGTTCGAATTCTGCAATTGCAGTCATTCGCCGAATTATCAACTTTCCGTGAGTTGCACTTCAACACCCTCGACATAGCACAGCACGGATGAACACAATGTTTGAGGAGAGTGTGCAGCTGTCAATAATCGTGTCGGTGTGGATACTGGCATTCAGAATCACAGATTATTATTTTTGGAAATATGACCAACATAAGAATTTTCACCGGAAAATGTCATCTGAACTAGTAAGTAACATCCACTTTTGCTCTGGTTCTGACATTGCAGTAAATCACACTGATTAAATCTAAAAATTGCTTGTCATATCAAGAAAAACCATGCAAATTATACTTTATTCTCAAATTATTAAAGGGACACTTCACTCATAATAATAATAATAATAATAATAATTCATTAAATTTATATAGTGCTTTTCTCTGGACTCAAAGCGCTTTACATAGAGAGGGGAATCTCCTCAACCACCACCACTCATTTGCATTAAGCTTTGTATCTTTAGAAACCCAGTCATATATTTGAATTATCATGGTTTATTCCCTTATTTTCCCCTGAGATGGGATTATTATGACATAAAAATCATCATTTTGCGCCATAATAAGCAGGAAGTCACATTTCATTGAAAACCGTAGAGACTACAAACATTAGCTCATTATTCAAGGGTGTGGGCCCCACTCATTACAGACCTATTATTAGTGGGTTCACTTGCAGAAACTGAAATCAATATCAGCCATCTTGTTTGGAAGCTAAGCTAACAAGTGCTGTGGAGATAGGAAGTATGACAATGACAGAAGAAACTAAACAGGTGAGGCTGACGGAGGAACCAGAGGCGGCTGCTTGCCAATGTAATGTTAAGAAGAAGGAACCGGCGACCATTTAAACATTTGAATAGTATAATGAACATTACAAAACAAAAGTATAAGCCTGCAGCCCCTCAATGACGACTGCTGTAACGTTACAAACAGAAACAAAATACAACATAAAATCCTCTTTCTCTCTCGATCTTCCGTCGTTGCCCCTCCTTTATGCCTCCGCTCCTCCGTGAGAGATGCGAGACCGGTGTGTCTCACAGGTGTCTTTCATTATCACTCACCCCACCGGCCTCGCGCCGTCTTCTCACATCCCTCGCCCAGTCGCCCTAGTCCTCCTCGCAACAGCTAACTAACTGGAAATTTTGTGCGAAATGAATTTCAAACTCTGGTGTCTAACGAAAGCCTTGTAGACGTGAGTGATTTCTCTGATGTTTTTGCGCTGTTCTGGAATAGTGGGTGTGGCTTGCGGAGTTGTGCAATGTGGTGCATTGTGGGAGTTGTTGTCTTACATACCAATGCGCCCTTCAGATATTTTCTGTCTTTTCTTCGTCTTTTCTTTTACATTTCGACTACATATATGATCTACTTTCAATAAAGATTAATGTTGAAATGGGTGATTTATGGGTGTTGAATGGATCCTTTAATGTTAACAACGTCAGCATTGCGTGACTACATGTAATGTCCTGATTTGTATCATTGTTTTCGCATGGGTCCGGTTGCAGTCTCTTTTTTTTGTAAGTTAGCCACTCTGAAGTGAAAAAGTGCTGTGAGAAAAAGCTATAAATCTCTACCTCCAGCATCCTCACACACAATATAGCCAACTAGCCGAGACTCTTCCTTTATGTGTACAGATGTGATGTAATGACGCAAGGACATGCTCGAATCTCCCACGTAAATTGACCAGTACCACTGGAATTAAAAACATTATCACAAGATTATCGCTTTGAATCGAGCAATTGCAAGCAGATAGTTTTGAACACTGGCTGGTTTTTCTCAAATATGAATTTTGGATCATTTTTAACCCCAAAAAAGCTACAGACTGCAGCTTGAAGTACAATCAAATAAAACATTTTGCATTCACTAATGTTTTTGAATGGATACTTTTAATTTAAGACTTGTTTGAGTAAAATTTGGACACAGTACTACTCACACTCCTACTCAACCACTTACGCTAATGTGAACTCTTGCGCATACACTGCACAGAGAGAGCTCTAGATATCAGATATCAAGCAACACATTCAAATAGGTGTAAGCCACAAGTTCTGCATCCATTTAAAAAATAACTATGGCTCTGGACATTGTCTTGGAGGGCTGCGTACTTTGGCCGAGGACAGGGAACATTACTCACATTCTGGGTCTGAAACAAACTGAACCAAGTAACCAGGCTAGGATGAGTCACATGAACGCTGCCCCCTCTCCGCTCTATCGACAGTGCCTGTCACTGACATCATCAGCTTCTTTGCCATCTGTCAATTATCCAGTGCCACTTCCTGCTCACTGAACTAAAACAGCCTATTCAAGACCTGCGAGTACACTCTTAAAATTCTTTACTGATTGTATGGTTCCATGAAGAGCCTTTAACATCCATAGAACCTGTCTATTACACAAACGGTTCTAAAATAGTGGAAAAGTGTTCTTTAAAATGTTTAAATGACCCTAAGGGTTAGCCCTAACCCTTTACTGAAAGTTTGAGGAAACAAAAATGTTTTTTTTTCTATGGCACTGCTGTGAAAAACCTCATCTGGAACCTTTATTTTTTAAGAGTGTTCTGAACTTGAGTTATGGGCAGCACCCAAATATGAATTACAGTCGTGTGATGTAGAGTGGCACTACCTTTGTCACAAACGGCAAATTTACTGTCTAGACAAAATTGCATTGTAAATATGAGAAATACACTCAAACACACTCAAGCCTCAATGTTCAATGTATCAAACACAATGTGCAAGGTTAACATTTTGTGTCACAATATGGCAACAACAGTCACTGGCAAGTGCTGTTTTATAAATGTTACATATGCAGTGTCTCATAGCTGGAGGTCCCTCAGTCAGTCACTGGCCCCGTTGGTTTGCTCCATAATCCTTCTACCACCTAATCATGCTGAAGATAATTGGTTGACCTTCATTGCAAAGCACTGATTGAGAGTCATTGCTGCATTACTCCACAACACTAGATCAATGATTATCTAGCATTAGTAAACCCAAGACCCTAAGGGCATTTGTGTTTTTCAAAAATGTTTGGCTGTTGATCTGACATGTTGACATGTCATTTTCTCTTTATGATCCTTATAAATGCTGAGTTGCATTTCATGTACCTCTTTTGAGTCATTGTCTGGCTTATTCGTGCAAAATATTAATTGTTTCAGGTCAACCCTATAGGTCACAATGGCCTTGCGGTTTACATACTGTAACAACCATTCTGTGGAAAACGGCCTCTGGCACGTTTCGTTTCACTGCTTTTGTGTTAAAGGGGACACAGATGCTTCCATCCAAGTAAAGCAGACCAAACATCTATGGTTATTATGTAATTTAATGACTAGAGATTTAATGACTTGTAAAATCATAGCTTAGCTAAAAACATTGTTTGACACTATGTAAAGGATAAAGAAAATGATAGGTCTATAGGAACATCAACTCATGGCAATATCACTAGTACTCTAAAGGCATGACAGCATTTCTCTTGTAGTTCAATTTTTACTGTCATGTGATTTCACAGGTATGAATGTGCGAATTCAGCAAGAAACTAAAGGGTCAACTTCAAGGATTCAAGGCACAGCAGAAAGATCTGTAATGCTTTGACCAACAGGCTCAGAGTAGCCTAATATTTATGGGCATTGTCATAATTTCCATTCATAAGAAATTCTGAGATGAATCTACACCAATGGTTGTGAAATTGGCCACAGGTCTGGGTCACATTTGAGCAGGGAAAAACAATACTACTGTAATAATAATAGTGTTTCTGTCTATATGAAGACACAAATGCATGAACTTCCTCTCCAGGCTCTAGACCCACTCCAAAAGTCAATTCATGATCATTGAACCGCTTCATTTGAGAAAAACTATCATCATGACATAAACACGCAGAAACTCAAAAGGTCTTCATGGCAACACATCCAAATAAAAGTTCGGTTTAACTTGACAGAAATATATTACCGTTGTACAGTAGAATTTTGATATGTCCCAATAGGCTAATAATATTAACACTTAAACCAAATAAATTATAATCAAAACTTTTTTAAGGAATAATCCATGTTTTAATTTTATCAGTAAAGCTCATTGTGCAGCACGTTATTTGACAAAGAGGTTTATTTAATTTCATATGATTAAAATGTATGATAATTGATCATGTGTTTTATGTCTTCATTTTATTACCAGAAAAAAAAACACAACACAGAATTAGTGTGAATTTTCATATATTTTTTAAAAAATGTTGTATGTTTAATGATTCATAATAGCCTACATTATTTCAATTAATCAGACATGCTTTTTGATTGCTAAAAAAATTTACACCACGTAGGCCTATCCGTAACACGCCTGCTCCACAACACTAGCAGTTTCACTCTAACTAAAAGGTTGTAGGTTTAAATCGCACAAGTTTTAACATTGTGTCCTGGATCAAGTCACGAACCTTTAAGAGAACTGAATCTGTATGAACGGCAATGATACATGTTGTTTACATGATGAGGGTTACTCGCTTCACTCTATTCAACAATATTACAAATCACACTACCAAACTCATGACAACTCATAGGTATGTTTCTGCTATTACCTTAATGATGCTGCTCCTCCTCGGTGCCATTTTCACCGACTCCAGGAGAGCCGCCTCATCGCGCTCCACCAGCGGTATGGTGACTCCACTCCGCCGGGATGATCGAATCGCTCTCGGTGGGATGAAGTCCGGAGCTCCATCTCCGCACACCCCGTCCTCGTAAGACTCCGACATCTCCAAGATTAGTTGCTTAGAAAATCAATATAATTTTACTCTAAAGGTGCACGTATTAGGACCCAAGAACGTCCACATCCAACTCTTGATTTGCGTCTTTGGGTAGCTCCGGTAGTCCACTTTAACTAAATTGCGCAGACTGAACGGCAGGTTGAGAATGTATCTCGTCCCTTGAGCCCATTCTAAAGTAACTTCTGCCCGTCAAATAGCTCGAAGAAGAAGTTATATGTATAATAACTGACTCATGAATCATTCTCTTGCGCAATAGGACACTTGCATCACCGCGCAACAAGTTAAAAAGCACCGCCGTAGTCTACCTAACTTCTCTCATTGATCCAGCGTGCGTCAACAATCTGAATCTGACACGTGCAAAACATAGAGGTGCAAAAATGCACTTTTTGTTAACAGATATGCTGTAGAGCGGAAGGACTGAGGGTCACCAGATACTAACGGGCATCAAAACAACCCCCAAATGTGCGGATTCTGTGTCAGCGTGATGGAAAAGAAACGCCAGAGTTGTGGCTGTTGATCGCCTCATCTCACTCTGTATGTGTTGTGTGTGTTGTTAGGTTAGTCTAGAATGAGGCACGCCCCTGACACTGGTACAGCCTCTTAGATCCACTAAACCCGCCCCTCTCGTCCGTAAGCTCTTGATTGACTGGTGTCGTGACCAACCGGCACCCTCAAATTTCCACAAACTATAATAGCTCTTTTTTTTCATAGAGGAGGAGCCATGCGTGTGAGCCTCAGGAATGTTACTCATTTAAGTTTACCAGATGTTTAGGAGAAAAGAAGCTTGCTTGGGGTATCACTATGGAAAACTGTGTCGTGTATCAAAAGGATATATGTAATGTGCTATAGCCTATTTGGCAGTCGTTGGATTAACACAAGCTCTGTTGTTTATAACAATTGAATTGAAAGATCTGATAAAGTTTAACAAACCTTGACTTTCTAATGGCTTTATGCACAGTTGCACTACTTCCTGAACTTCAGCTCCTTGTTTCCTGTCTGCCATTATTGGACAAATGTATTAATTCAGGTGTGCCTGACATCAGTAGTCACGGCAACGATAATCAGACACACCTGAATTAATCAAGTTTCTCCAATAATGCCAGACAGGAAACAAGGAGCTGGCTGAACTTCAGGAAGTAGTGCAGCTGTGTATAAAGTCAATTGTGACACTTTGTGACACAAAAATGTTTGCAAATGTATGTATAAATGCATATTAAAAACTTTAAACATTAAACACTACATTCAAATGAAAATATAAAAACAATTATACAATATGAATGAATATCTCAATTATAAACTACTAAAATTACACTGCTGAGCAGTGTTGCATGAAAAATAACAAAAAGGAAAAAATATGTTTACATGAAAAATAACATAAAATAGGTCAATGTAAATTAGGTTACATAAAAATAATTTTTCAATGCAAAAATGCTGTAATTCCAAGGTTTTCTAGTGATTTTAGCAATTAAATGACATTTTATTATTCATAAATATTGAAATATTATTTTTTTCTTAATGTATAAATCATTTTTTAGGATGAATTTGAAATTTTTAATACGATCTTTATCCAAAAAAAAAATCAAGCATACCATTGGTCCCTATGTAAAATGATATTTTATTGTTTCTCAATGACTGTCCCTTACAAAATTAGTGTCTTTCAAACGTCTTTACAGCAGAAATAGCAGGTTTTTGCAATGTATTCTCCATTATCAGACAATGTCTATTTGCTAAAAATAGACAGCAGAACCACACTGAGATGAGGCCTTTAACACTTAAATGATGGATAACATTCATCATTTAAGTGTTAAAGGCCTCATCTCAGTGTGGTTCTGCTGTCTATTTTTAGCAAATTGTATCTAAAACTAAATTGTATCTGAACTGCCCTCTATGTGCCTGATGTGTGTGCAGAACTCATGACAAAAGTGTGTGAATTTGGTTCATAAAACTCGCACAGAAATGCAGAGTAAAAGAACGTTGTGAAACCCTGGTGACGAGCCAGCTGATGTACCGGACGAATGAGAGGTTGCTCAAGATGCAAGCCCTCTGTGAAAAGTAGACAGAACCCGAGGGTCATTAGCGCAGGGCTAAAAACTCTAACACCTCTCTGTAGATTTTCCCCTAGTGTCAGGTTACCTTGGTTAAAACTAAACCCTCTCTATGAGAACAGTGTCATTAAAGAGAGCTCTAATATACACTTTAAGACTGAATATTGTTTTTAACATACTTTGCGTTACCACGCCTAACTTAAATGTTTAGGACGTGGAACTGAGGGGTTATGAAATGTTCTCAAAATTAAAAAGAAAAACAACAGTGTAAGAATGGGGTCCGTTTTAGTCAGCCCATTCAGCCAAAAGTAGACAGATGGTGTAAGGTGTTGAATATGTGTTTGACTTAACAGTTTAGGTCTTCTCAGCGAAGTTCATCTCCACAACAGTCGCCACTTTGTTTCTGTTACCATCTTAGAAAATGTGGTAGGCTAGTGTCCACTAAATATGAATTATATGAGCAAAAAATTGGAGGATTTATGTGAAAAATATTGACTTAGTCTTATATTCATATTAGGCCTACCCATAAGATTTTGTAAGGCCTGTTTTCTTTCACATGTTAGAAACAGGTGAAAACTTAACTCAGCAAACTTTACATAAATAACCTTACAATTATGTCCACTATAATAATGCAAATGTGAGTACATTCATACACTGAATATGAAATATATTACAACACAATATACTGCAGTTTTCACGGAAGTGTAGGCCTAAATAATTATCAACGCGGGTTTTCACTAAACTAGCAACAGCGCCCTCAAGTGTAGGCTGCTACAAAGATTTGAGAACTTTAACGGGATAGTTCTACTCACCCCCAAGATGTTCCAAACCTCTATGAATTTCGTTCTTTCATTGAACACAAAAGAAGATGTTTTGAAGAATATGAGTAGGCCTACTTCCATAGCCTATGGAAAACGTCACACATTTGATGCCTTAAAACAATTAACAACAAACACAAAGCTTAGGCCTACCTTAAAAATATGGTAGGCCTACAGATACTTTTGTGATTTATGAACTTTAAATGGATTGTTTACTTTGCTAAACTGTAAAAATGTTGCTACAATATTTCTACTTTATGAAGTTATGTGTAATGCACTATAAAACAAGAGCTTGTTATTGCCAGAGAGCAGGCGAGTGTGAGAGGTGACAGATGTGTGTCAGGGTCGTGTTGCTCTTATCTCTGTGTCCTTCCTCAGCTTCTTTGCTCCCTTTTCGCTGAAGAATGAGATAACAGCAGGTGCAGAGAGTATAGTATCAATTGTACTTCAAAACAAAATCAAAATTAAATGGTCAGTTAAAAGACGTGGTAGCCTAAATGCACTAAACCCCCAAAGTTTTTATAAGGAAGTCTATAACGTATTTGAAATGCTGGTCTAAAATAATATTTGCATCATAGCTTCTTTTTATTTAAAATATCTCTGAGGAGATTGGTTTCTGTCAGCAGTAGCCTATACTGTTATTTCCACCCTTATCTCAGACCTATTTCAGGTAGTAGGTTGCTCTGTCTTTTCATCTGCACTCAACAAATCTCTCCACGTCATTCAAAATTGAATTGCATTTCTTTTGTGTTGGATCAAAGTGTTGAAAGTAGCCTACTCTCGAGTAATGAAAAGACTAGGAACAGCTGGTACCGAAATCACACTTTTTTTAACAAGACGGAAAAATGCTAAAAACGATAAAGAAGCAGTCAAATAAAAAAGGCGTTACATTATAGCTTTAGTCATGATAGTCATGTTTAAATTACAGACAGAGAACATGTTAATCAAATCATAGTAATAGTTTTCAGAGGCCAACAGCAAATATCAATGCATATCAACATCTGTATTTCCTTTGTCTTTCTTTCTTTCTTTCTTTCTTTCTTTCTTTCTTTCTTTCTTTCTTTCTTTCTTGTTTCAGCATATTTTTTGTTCTATAATAGGGATAATCAGTTATTAATAATCAAAAATTATCAAAATGATAATCAAAAATTAACATTTCACCTTTAGACATTTTTTAATGATTTATTAGTTGCAAAAGATCCACAACCAATTTTATTACAACTTAGATAAAAATCTAACCGATGTGAATGCCACTTGTTATTTTATGTCTATAATGACACTATTCAATACAAGATTACATGTGTCGAATGGTAGATGGCGCTGTGTCACAAGTATTGGAGACGAAGCGTGTTCATTTGGAAGATCGACCATGAGCCCAGCTTAGTAAAAAAAAAAAAAAAAAGAAAGAAAGAAAGAAAGAAAGAAAGAAAGAAAGAAAGAAAGAAAGAAAGAAAGAAAGAAAGAAAGAAAGAAAGAAAGAAAGAAAGAAAGAAAGAAAGAAAGAAAGAAAGAAAGAAAGAAAGAAAGAAAGAAAGAAAGAAAGAAAGAAAGAAAGAAATTGAGCCCACTTTAGTGCCTTTGTGTCTTTAAGTAGCCCCATTTGAATTTGTGATCAGATCTCAATAAGGCAATTTGCGAGAGATTTTGGAGAGAATGGAGTGTTTCACATTTTGTTCACACGACGTCTCAAACTTTGATATAATATTCACATATTTCCGTGAATTAAAGTAATTTAGAAAGACATGTCATGTCTGATAGTGATTTCACCATAGGCTAATTTCTGATTGGCTGAAAGTCACATCTTGTTATCTGGTCTCCTGCATTATGTAAATGCCTTTTAAACTTTAAGACTTTAAAAGATAAAATAAGACGCAAATTCATCACTAAATGAAATACAAATAAGTGTCTATTTGAATATAAAAGTTGAAATCAATCCATCCATCCATTTTAAAGCTTTTTGCTTTGAGGCGATAGTGTTGTTTCACTCTATTGTTGAAAATGACTATAAAAAGTTATTCTTGATTCTTGAATATCCTCAGGAATAGATGAATGGGTTTTAGAGTCCGGATTATGTGTCAGAGAGATTGATGTAGGCCAGGTCAATCTCACAGTAACAGAAGTGGGATTATAATGTGGAGTATAATTTGCATCAGATGGAGATGTCTGTATTTGGGATGAAAATATGAAGACAGATGAAAAGTTAATGAATAGTGAATGTAATTTTCAGAAGTACTACTAGTTTAAGATTAAATAATGCATTTACGTTTCACTTTTCTTGGAAGTTTGTTGCATAGGCTTTTGTGTTGGTTTTTACCTACTGTATATTTGTTTCCTTCCTAAACTGTGTGTTCAAAGAAAGCATGGGTTTCCTTCCCAGTGTCCTCTGGGTGTGGTCTCAGAATGACAGTGGTTTCCGGTCTAGGACCCAGACTTTGTGGTTTTTTTAGTGTTATTTCTGAGCACTGACTAAGAGGCACATGGGCAGACAGATGTGTGACATGCATGCTGTCAAGATCTAAAATTTGGATGTTCTTTCATTTCTATGAAAGATTAACAAATACTTTCCATTTTATTCCAATTTTGGATTAGGCTCTTAATCTATAAATGCATCAGATGTCTGTTTGTATTGCAGGGTGACCCAAGGCCACATAATCTAAAAAGAATTACAGGAAATTTGACACAAAGTTGTTTATGAAGGATAGATTTTGAAACTAATCCCTAATAATGGTGTCGTGAGCGGCAAGAGCCAAAACAATGAAGCACAAAGCCACTAAAATGAGCTGCTTTCAAAAATATGCCACTTTGTGACTGATTAATGCGACTGTTGTTCAGCATGGAGGTCTCGGCCAGCAGGTGGGCATTGTTTTCAGCTGTAAGGTTGACAGGTGGTAGTGAGCTACTTTGGTAGTTTCATGTTTTGCGTTTTGGTTCCGCTTTAGCCTGTGTGAATTCTGACTCACAGAAATGTGTAAAAATAGAGCCATACAATACACATTCAGGGATTTTAGTTGTATCCCATAGCTCTGCTCCCCCTATTTAGAGGCCTCCTTCCTTCCTTCTCTCTCTCTTTTGTTCTGTTTTATTAACATACTGCTCTTATTGCTTTATGTAAGAGAAAAGGCACTATCTTGTTTTTTAGCCACAGTGGTCTGTGCTTCAGTCGTGTGCTCCTTATTAAATGCACAAACAAGATCCAGATGCCCTGTAAAGAAACCTCAACATTAGGACTGCATAACGACTGCAAACACACGGGCCACATGTGACACAATATCTCACTCCCACAAGTCTGTATACTTCAAACAGATGAAATTATGAAAGTCATGAGCATAGGCTATATAACATACAATAACACTTAAAATGAAATTCTTTAAATAAATGACCATGTGGTTAGTAAATTAATTATTTTAGACATTACTCTTCAAAAAAAAAAAAAAAAAAAAAAAAACTTTATCGCTCATGCTCATATGTAATTTTCTACTCCTTGTATGGTGAACAAATTTAGCTCACCACTTAGTTTGAGCAGATGTTTCTTGTGCAACGGTCTTCATTTAAAGTGGTTTCAAGTCACTTTATATAGTTTCCATCCCTGCTTTATTGTGTCGAAGTGCCAAAAGTGACCTAAAAGCCATTTGCTTTATTGCTTATTTTTATTATGAATTATATAGCCTATAATTTTAAAATTATTGAATTATAAGCTCCAACATCCCTATGACCCTGCAAAAGGGATAAAAGTGGTCAAGACAATGGATGGATAAATGAATTATGGTTGGGGTGAAAAAAATACTATTCAATTCTTTAATAAAGCAATTATTAGAAACGTATGTTAGAATAAAATGATATTGCGGAGTTAAGACTTCCATTTCAGGGATAAAAAGGGAGAGGTTTGTTTGTCTGTCTTAATCTCCATGTGTGAAATGTTGTATTTTACCAAAATAACCAAACGGAACCTTATATTTATGATTTATACAGGCCCCTCCTCCTGTTTAATATGCAGCCCCGCCCTTATTAATTATTCAGCAATCCCGTTCTTCCTTCGCCACGCCCCTCATTAATTTCAGCACGCTTCCAACCCACTACAACTTTTGTTTTATTATTTCGCGGCCATTTAGGGAGACTGGAGGTGATGTGTTTTTTCTGGTAGAAGTTTTACGGAAAACAATCTGGATTTATTTACTAAACATCAACTTCAGAAAGTAGGGTATTTGATTTCATAAACCCTCTCGCAGCAGCAGGACTTGGTGATCTTTGCTTGCTCATTTAGACTTAAGCCGTTTTCTTAAAGGGGATCGGATACATTGCACGTCATCCTCGGTTCAGTGCCACTCCCGAAGGATTAAGTTGTTGGAATATGGAGCAAAGCCACTAAGCACAGGAGCGGGAGTCCTCTTGTGTGGCCGAGTGGGTCGCCCCGTGTCCGGCCTTGCGAGTGCTGGAGATCCCGTTATAATGGGATGCGGACTACGGAAACTGGAAGACCCGGAGGACAGCAGCCCGGGGAAAATCTATTCTACTTTAAAGAGACCACAGGTCGAGACCAAAACAGACTCCGCGTACGAGTATGTGCTTCTGGACTTCAGTTTGGAAGGTAACGTTACAGGACTGTTCAGTAAACAAAAGTGTGGATGTGCTGTTCGCTTACAAAAAAAAAAAAAAAAAAAATGCCATGGTATAGTTTCCACCAAAATACTTACGTTATTCTTAATACAATAAAACTGCGTTAACTTAGTAGTTGTAAACTGTTTTTACACCCTGAAAATTACCCCTTCCGTAGTAGGCTACTTTTTCCATTTTGCAAGCCAAGTGTGTTAGTTAATGAATGAGAAAGAGCTCCAGTTGTTTATTCGGCTGTGTCTCACACAACCCTCTGCCTGGCTAGATAACAGTGGCACGTGCCAGTGATGCCCAAAATGCTCCCTAGACAGGAAGCACGCAAGGATTTGAGACAATATATCATATTTTAAATTTCTGGCAATGATGGATCCTGGCATGTGCGTCCTGGAGTTTGCGAGAGCTTATACCGCTTTACCCAGCAACAGCGCTGAAGCCTCACATGTGGAAATAGGTCAGAGGGTTTAAGACACTACAGCAGCTCACCCGCGCCAGTTCAAGATGACATCCATACTCAGACTTCCTCCGTGCAACAGTTTCCACTATCTGCATTTCCCATAAGCGTTTTTTTTTATGGTTTGAAGGAACCATCCACAGTCTTACTAAGTACTGCCCACTATAGTAGGCTATAGCAGCAAGTATAGTCCGTGACTCCGTGTATTGTTACGTGTTGTATTATTTTGCCTGAAGTAGAAGCGATTGTTTGAAAGTTGGTGCGGGTTTCTCGCTAGCCAGCTGGGAGCGAGAAATAAAAACCACGTAATGGATTTGGGACACCTGGAGTGATAATGAACCCTTTGAGCACCGAGAGGAAACTTCATTCACTCCATTTCACTCATTTTGCTACTCCAGACCGTAGGCTACTTTAGTCTGTGCGTTAGAACTGAAAAAAAAAAAAAACTGTACAATCTTAAATTTTAACATTATAAATGTTAACTTTTTGTTTATTGCACTATTGTGAAATGCTGAGGAACAAAGCAGCAGCAGCCTGGCTGATCAATATCACGGCACTTATATTGAGTAATATTTCTTAAAGGACAATAAAATAATTTTCTGATGGGAAATGAGATGTACATAGAATAGTGTACACTACCGTGTGTTTCTTTTTTTTTTTTTTTTAAAGACATGCTAGCTTCTTTGGCCGAAAACCATAGGCCTACTCGAGTTATAAAATTTAAAATAGAGAATCTAAATATATTTAAAGGGGTAATATAATGGTACATGCACTTTTTTAAGTTAATTGTACCGAAATGTGTGTTGGCAGTGCCTGTAAACAACTATCATAATAATGATACAAATCTATCCATTGTTTTTGTTTTAATCTCTGTTTTTCCCTGTCTCAAATCAAGCCTTTCGACCGTGTGACATCACATTGTTGATTGACAGCAGCGTTTCAACACATCCCCGCTCTGAGCAAGCAGGCATCATAGTCTGCCATTGTTGATACGCTGGAGCAGAATGGGGTCGTAGCGATTGTGGTCTGTTCTTGGGTGTAATAACGAACACAGCAGTCATTTTGATGTCTCCAAATCCGAACCGCTGCAGACGCAATGCATGCAGGTTACATGTAGGTCTCCAGCTGGCCAGCCCAAGTCCACCACTTTAGAAGTTTGAGGCAAATTATTTGATCTAGGTAGCCTAACGTATTTGATAATAAGTTAGGCTACCTAAATTATTATCAGCTGGTTATAAAGGCCAACATAAAAAGCCTCAGTAATAACAGGACAACAAGTCATATTTTAATGCAACACATCTTAATCCAGATATTAGCTCTCCTTTTTTTATCTGAACATAAACATGTCTGCGGGTGTGGGAGTTGGATATTTTTTCTAGCCTTTCATTTCCGAGAACACCTGGTGTACAGACTCCTGAAGCGATGGTGTTTGTCTGCTCACCGGAGCCATCACATTATCTGCATCACAGACTGTGCTCCTTTGCCTTGTTCCATCTGCATATATCAAATGTAACCTGTGGAAACTCTTTCTCGGCTGTGTGCCTGTGAGTGTTCGAATGGTTACAAGATGTAGTGATACCTTTGACTCAGTTCTTCTTTGCAGCGATTTGCAAGACCTCATGGTAGAAGTGTATCACGTGGAAAAATACCTCAGCTGTTGTTAGCTTGCATACTCCATGCATGCTCTCTTCACTTGGACCTGTCTTGTCCTGCATCTCATGTCAGGACAGGAACAATGCTGGTTTCTACACTCGTAAAAACAAGTTACAAACTGAGGTTTTCACAGTGATGCCATAGAAGAACCATTTGTGTTCCCATTCATTTTTTCCTTCATGTTACTTTAAAGAATTTGTTAATAATCTAAAGAACCCTTTTTCCACTATAAATAACATATTGTAAAATATAAAGGTTCCATGGATGTTAAATGGTTTTCATAAAGAACCTTAATTGTTAAGAGTGCAGGGCTGTAATGTGTAAACTGTTTTGTCAATAACTTTAGAGGTCTTGTCTGTTGTGCAAGAGGAAAGCTAAAGGATCTTCGGTGATTCCTCTTTCTTGGTTTTGGGAAGGTTCAAGTTTTGGTGTGCTCCGTAATATGTGTCTCTTGGACACTCAATTATGTATCATTTGGATGAGGACAAGGTTAACTATTAACCTTTTCTCTCTCTTTTTTTAATAAAAAGAAATAAAATAAAGTACTGTAATGTTCATTAACCAGATTCCCACAATACCCCCCATCCATAACTTCAAAAATGTCTCGTTTAGAAATTAATGTATGACATTGAATGCAGCATTGATACTATTGGCATGCACAGAAGCTTGTCTGATGCTTAATTTGGGTGTTTGGTTGTAGAAAGCCAGATGTTGCAGAGGCACCAGACAGAATTACGAGTGGCCTTAATCTCTGCCTTGGATCAGTTTCACTGCTGTCAAGTCGAAAAAGGGATTAGTTTCAATGTCTAATTTTGGCCTTAAATCACCATTCGATTATAATATTTGTCAATAATATTCTTAAAGAGTTAGTTCACCCAAAAATGACAATTCATAATGGTCTCACCCTCCAGAATCAAGCATAATTGTTTTAGTGAATTAATCCTTTAGATGATAGCATTGAACATTATAGCCAGACGTAAGGTGTACAGAAAGTATGTCGGTGTAATCTCCCTTTTGATTAATCTCGTTCTGGCATGCTGATGGATTTATGAGTATTAAAATGAGTTTTCAGGCAATTTTTAATCAAGCAAGACTGGTTAATCGGGTTGTCTCAAGGCCAGTAACTGAAACTACTATGATGATGACCTTGCAATATTTTGTTATATATGTATATAGACATATATAGACACCCATATGCTTTCTCTTTTTCTTAATGCAAAACTAATTCTTTTAAAAATATTTTGATTTTGGGGTGAAATATAACAGCAATTATAAGAAAAGCACACTGTTTTAATGAATTGATGGAATATTTGATTGAAGGAATTTTTTCCACAATCTGAAAAGGTCTACTTCCATCCACATTCCACAAGACATCTTTTTTCCCCCTAAACCCTTTCTGGGTCATAAAATATCCCATAAATTCCTTCCCTCTACCTCCTTCGTCTCCCTCTCATATCCCAGTCTATCTGTTTTTCATTTTCCCTCTGCAGCTTTCACACCTTCAAACTCTTCTCCATGTCTTCACACCCCCTTTTCTTTTATTATTCATCCTTTCTGCTTGTTCTTTTTATAAACAACACGCATACACAGTCTCTCTCTCCCTGTCTCTGGAGAACAGAGGCCTCTGTGTGAGAGTTGACAGGAGGGGGGGTTCAAGGGTTTGGGACAAATTGCAGGCCTTTCTAAAAAGGTCTGTGTCTCTGTGAACGAGCCACCGCTCTCCCCAGCCCGTCGGGGTCGTTGTGTCCATGACGAGTCTCTAAAGCTCAGGTGTGAAGGGCGGGCATGCACGGGCCAGTTAAAGCCCTTTAGTGGCCACAGACACACACCAGTAGATGGCGAAACTTTCAGGTAGCTGCCAAATCAGATAGCATTCTCAAACAGTTCATAGCCGTTTACTGTTTGAGAATGAGTTTGTGAGATCGTCTCTCATGTGAGGGTTAAAAAATTAGTGTCTGCTCCACTGTGGGAACCGAAAGGCTGAATGTTTGCGTGAGTATGTTTGTGTTGTGTGTGGTGGAATGTTGTGTTTGTGAGGCTGAGTGTGTGTGGAATGGGGCCAGGCCTCCCTGTGAACAGCAGCTCTTTGTGGACACAGGAAGTGTGTTGGGGGGTTGGGGGAGATGAGGGAGACGTCAGGGTGATCTTCTGTCAGAGGCTGCAGACAGGAGGAAGAGAAGCGAACTAAACGGTAGCACGCTATTGAAGAGCCACTTAGAGAAACCTTAACATTGGCTCAGTGGCCGGCCCTACATAGACAGCATCCAAAGTGGAATGGAACTCGTAACGCTGTACATGGGGAGCAACAGTTTGCATCATACAGATAGCTCTTGACTTGACTAAAATTGACCTCAGTAACCTTTGTTAATAGTTATGCATAACATTTTTTTTTACATATTAGGTAAAATAATGAGTAATAAAACATATTTTATTACTGCTTTTAAGTATGTACTGGTTTCGATTTACCAAAAATGACATTTTCACATAACGTAAATTTAAGAATAAACACTTTAAGACACATTAAATTGGCCAAATACTTAAATGCAGTATTTCAAATAAATGCTTTTCTTTTTTTTCTTTTTTTTTTTTCTTTTGCTTTATCAAAGAATCCTGAACAAATCATGATTTCCACAAAATATTAGCAGCAAAACTATTTTCAACTTTGATAAAAGGATCATGTGACACTAAAGACTGGAGAAAAAATGTTTGGCATCATTGGAATAAATTACATTTTAAAATATAATAAAGTAGAAAACTGTTATTTTTAATTGTAATAATATTTCATAATATTACTGTTTTTACTCTATTTTCGATCAAATAGATGCAGCCTTGGTGAGCATTAGAGACTTTTTAAAAAAACATTTAATAGTCTTACCGACCCTAATCTTTTGAACGGTAGTGTACGTCACATTTAGGACAATTTATATAGTATAATAATATAATATCAGCTGTGGTGAACTGTCAGATAAACCTCTAATGAACTGTATATTGGACACTAAAATGACGCTTTTTCAAGAGTCTTCTTATTCTTCACGCAATTTTCAGGAGTAATAAAAAAAAATTTGATCCAATTTCACATTTTTTCCACCCCTAAAAATTAAAGACTACCCACAGATAATCAAATCAACTGTGATTGGTCACTTTACATGTCTATCAGATAACCCTTCGCTGTCGAAAATAAATTGCGAAAGACTGTATCTTTATAATATTTTCATCATATCTTCTTAATATTAGCACAGCTTGTGGTATTCTGCCAGTGTCTTTTAGCAAAGTATGGTGGTTTTGACTGAGTGCATTGTAAGTTTTAGTTCTGTTGTGTTCCACAGGCAGTCGGCCCACAGTGCAGTATCTCTCCTCACTGTGTGAGCTGCCCCATGCCCTGCAGTCCTACTACACCCAAGGCTTTGTACTGACCGCCCTGCATCCCATCATCCTCTCAGTGGGCCGGACCCGCTCTCTGCCCTGCAGCCTGCTCTACAGGGCCATTCTGGTCCGCCCACGGTCCAGGTAATGTTCACCGTGTCCATACCTCATCATTGCATCCCAAAAAACCCAGACCAGCTCCCTCCAAGTAAATGATAATTAACTTTTAATGAGTCTGCTCTGCATGAATATTTAATAATCAGTAGTTGGAGGTCAGACAGTCTAGCTAGAGTGGGCGGGGCTTGTGTGAAGTCAGACTGGGGTGCAGATGTGGGTTTTAAATGTAAGTTATAAGAAAGCCCTGACAACAGTGTAGTTTTTCACCAACCAATGAGAACCTGCAAAGCAGCTGTGGATGATCACGATTTCCACTATGACGCTCTAGGTGACAATAAATTATTCAACAGTAAAGTCTAGGACAGTTGTAGTGTGTTAACAGTATTGTGGTGTGAAACACGCTGAGCTGTGTAATGCCAACTCCGACTGTGAATACTGTATGAATGTCTGAATCCAGTCAGCATAAGCTTGAATGCACTTTCAAGCAGAGACAATAGCTATGAAACTTGCAAAAAGCTAACTTCTGAGGCAGTGGCATCCAGACGTATCCACATCCATTGTTTGCTTGACTTCCTGTCTACTAAGATGCCTCCATCTGGTCATTTCTTGAAGGAAGGCAGCATAGAAGTATTTTTGCATCCTGTGATACCCAACAGTACTGTCTATGTGATTCAGTGGTTGTTTTAAAGAATAAAATGCTGTCTGATGACTAGAAATAGGCTGGCTTGATAGGAATTGATTTATAAATGGATTTTTAATTCACCCATTTCTACAAAGAAATAAGCATTGTAGCCGTTAAATGTTTGCTCGCATTTAAAGCGCACTTGAATCAGTTCTAGGTCATTTGTGTTATGGTGCTGTGAAAACATATCTGAAATCAGATCTAGTGTTGGCTTCATACAGTATAGCTGTCTGTTAAATCATTGACTTTCGGACACCGCTTATACGGTCAGTTTGGGGTTAGAAGGGTTAAACCTTTCAGCAAATTGATACTTTGCTAATCGAGGACATGTGAAAAATAGCAAATGTCAGCAATAGGGGTGTAACAATATATCATGCCACAATATATCGTGCAATACAAAAATGCAGCGTATCGTGGATAGTGACAAATATGTATTGTGGATAGTTCCCCCAAAATAAAAATGACGAGTTTTAGAGTCAGTACTACATTAAACTAATATACATAATGCCAGTTATAATGTATAATAATGCAATGTAAGAATATTTATGAGTTCTGATAATGCCAAATGTCTGATGTTACCAGTAAAAAGTGTCCAGCATTATTTTAAATATATGTAGTCAGTGACAGAGTGCAAGCATATTCGTCTAAATAATTCTGTATTTTCATCAGAATTATTCTGGTGTCACCATTGTCCAAGTCCAAACCTATTCATTGAAACCCACAATATAATGTCAAAATTAGCATGTTAATCAATGGTACATTTTTTTTTGTTGTTAACCTTTTATCATGTCTTGGAGTATCGCAATAATATCGTACCATGAGTTCAGTATCGTGACATGAGGGTATTGTTACACCCCATGTCAGCAATTATAAAATATGCATAATGTTTACAACCGCCTTAACTGATGTGTATTTGTTTGTGTTGTGTGTGTGGTTGCAGTAATCATGCTGTGCCGATGATTGACAGCTTGCCAGTGTTGCAAGTGGAGGAGTGGCCTCTACCTGGAGAATCTTTGACCAGTGACACAGTGAGACTGCTCATAGACCGGGTCTGTGTTTTTTTTTTATTTCAACAAAAAAATTTTATTTTAGCCATGTATTTTTATAGTTACTAGAAATAATGACTTTTTCACAAAATGTTTAGGTTTATAAAGTTGCTTTTACAAAAATAAATAGGTTGAACAAATTCATATAACTAAAATGGAAGATTTACAACCTCATTTATATTTGCTAGCTATATTTAAAAGGGCTGCACAATTATAATAATTACCATTGTACTATTAATAGATCTGTGCGGGTCCATAGAATGTGCTGTTTAAAATTGGAAATGCACCCAATTTATGTTGTAAATTCATCTTATTTGACCTTATTGTGAACGAGTCCTCTATGCAAGCCTAATTGTGCTTCATTTTTTCAATGAATGCCGGACGTTTTTTCTTACAATCCCATTTCTTAAAACCTACTGGAAACTCGCAATCAGATTTGCCAAAAAGTCATATTAGAGCCCAAAACCGCATGAGGTCTGGCAATTTTGAAGGCACATTGTAATAGAAAAAGTGACAGATTGTGATTACTATCTGTTGGTTGCTGATTGGTTGGTGGCAAATCTGATTGTGAGATGGCAGCTGATTATATGAAAGGGTCGGGTTTAGCTGACTAAATGATTAGAGAAGCTATGACAACTTGTATCGAGTGATGACATTTTGATTCAAAATTACAAGCTCAAAAATGTCGTTCAGAATAAGATCAATAACATGCATTTAGAAAATATTAAATTTAATGGCAACTTTAAGTGTCAGAGGATTTTCTCTAAAAAAATCATAAATTTCAGCTCCTCTTGGAGGATTTAGACACACTGACCATACTCCTATTACTAACCGTATGTATTTTGTCTGCATCCTCAGGTGAACAGCTATGCCCGGGGTGGTGTGAGGTTTGTGGGATCAGTCCTTCAGCAGGCTGGAGGAGGGGGGTGTAACGGTAGACTGCCCAGTCCCAGGAGGGGCTGCCGCTCCCCGTCCCGCACCCCACCTCGCACGCCGCCCGGAGACGGAGATCTAGAGGGCCGTGGCTACAGCCCAGGTGAGATTTTCCACAAACCTCATTATAGGCTTCAATCATTAAACGATTATTGTTTTTTATAGCTTTAAATCATATACAATGATGTTTGACTGCACATATGAACTATAAATGCCTTGTGATATTCACCCTACAATGCAGGATTCGAAGAACTTATATTTCAGCTTTGAATCAAAAAGCAAAATCAAAATTTTTACCATGAAGACAAAAATATAGCATCGTGAAAACAATAACCAGTGTGTATAACCTCTTTGAGTGGTGTCAGTTTAATTTTGGTTTAACCCTGTAATATCTTTGCCCTCTGTGGAGCCACAGTGCTTCCTCGCCCTCTGGGCATCAAACCAACCGCTTGATTCTCCACGCCAACCATTTTGGGGTCACATGTGAGATTGAGATCAGTCAGAAGCTGTTAGCGTCTTAACACCAGAACTGTACCTCATTTCTCTGCCCCATTTGGCTTATTATTTATGGGACTAGGATCTAGGACTGCTAGTTTGACCTAATAAAAATGGTGCCTAAATCAATGATCATTGCATGACTTATTCTATTGCATTCTATTATCTGTTTGCCAGACAAAATGTGTGACTGTCACTGTCGTTTTCAGACCTAAGATTGTTGGTGCTGTTTCACTCCTGGGCTCCGGGCTGTGCCCCGCTGGATTCTCTCGCTTGCTGTTACCACCAGGGGGCGCTGTCCATGCGTGTGTCCAGAAAGGGCCAAGTTGTTAGTGCCCTGGAAGCTGATTGGCTGGAACTGACCGCAGCTTACTACCGCAAGGGCTGGTCACTGGTCGACTCCTTTATATATTGGGACACACCTAAAGGTAGTTACTTATTTTTGACTGTCATTTGAGTGGTTTCTTGAGCTGGTTGTTCATCTGGCTGTCGTGTTTGTGTTTCTCTGTTTGCAAAAGAAAGAAGTCCACGTTCTTTTTAGCTCTTTCCAAGGAAGTCATTTAACTTCATTTTCTCCAAGTACATCTTTTCATGCTTAGAAGTCACGTTCTTGATCCTCCTCTTTTTAAACCCGCCACATCTCTCTGTCTTTAACTAAAACCAAGATTTCTCTTCTCCCGTCTCTCACAGAACTAAATTTAGAGCTCACGTCCCTAACCTCACGACCGTGCTTCCTGTTTCGCACAAGACTAATAGGAGCTAAATCAGATGTGTGTGTGTGTGTGTGTGTGTGTGTGTGTGGGTGGGTGAGACATCTGGCCTCACTCTCTCTATACTCTATGTATGTATGTATGCATGCATGGATGAATGTATGCTTGTACGAACGGGGTCAAGATTTTTTAAAAAATATTTTAAATATTAAATATGCAAGGTAAGTTCATCTGCCAGCCCAGAAAAGTAGTCACAGAGTGTAACAGAGCAGCTCTTCTGGGTTATATGTCAGAACGTAGGCTCCCTTTGGCCCACACTGGTCATGTGTGTGATGCTCCAATAGTGAGCCTACGTTCTGACATACAATACAGAAGCGCTGTGCTGTTATACTATGTGAACTCACTCAGAAGCTCACAAGAAAATTAATAGTTGAATAAAGTCGTTAATTTGGGGGGGGGTTGCATACAAAAAGTATTCTCATGGCTTGATAAACTTAAGATTGAACCACTCTTGTCACTTGGACTATTCTAACAATGTCTTAATAACTTTCTGGGCCAGCAAGTTTCAATTACAATAGAAGCCTATGGAGGAGGGATCAAGCTCTCAGATTTAATAAAAAAAATATCTTCATTTGTGTTCCGAAGATGAACGAAAGTCTTACGGGGTTGGAACAACATGAGGGCGAGTAATTACTGACAGAATTTTCGGACAGAACTAACCCTTTAATTTGTGGGAATTCTTTATTCATTTGTTGCCACGATATATATCTTTTGTTCGCATGTCATGTGCGGGGCTCTGCATTTATTTGATCAAAAATATAACTTCAGTAATGATGTTTTAAAAAAAATCTATTTTAATCTATTTTAAAACGTAATTGACTATTTATTTAGTTTAGTTGTAAAAATACAGAAATCTTTGAAATATGTTCTCATTTTTGGCTCTATAATCTAATTCTCTCTCCCTCTTTGTCCTCTCATACATGTTGGTGCACATGGATTTGTCTTGCTGTCTTATAAGTAGTTCAGTTTCATTATCTTTTGTAGGTCATTGACACACTTCCAGCACTGACTAAATGAGACCTACAAATTGTTGCTCTGTGGTTCAGTGGGTAACTATTTCAGAATAAAATAGTCTCTTTTGTTAAAAAACAGCCACTTATAATGTTCAGATCCATCATGTTAAAAGGAAGTCATTAATACTGCTCATGCTTCAGATTAGGCTTTTGAACAATTACATTAACATACAAATATACATGTACTCATACAGACATAATGTAAAAACCTAGCTGTGAATTGCCATATACCAGTTCTTACTGTATCATGTCAATTTTGACTTGTTTTTACAGGTGAGCCAGTGCCCAGGTCTCTAGAGGGGCTGTTTGTCTATGAGGAGAAAAGCACAGCGCCACCTGCCAATGACACTATTGTAGTGGAGCAGTGGACTGTTATAGAGGTGTGAAATGTCTGAAAGGTGTCACATTAATTGTGTTGTGAATGGCATTTTCGTGTTCTCCTTAATTTATTCTGGTTTGTGTGTCAGGGTTCAGACGTGAAGACCGACTACGGTCCTCTGCTCCACACATTAGCAGAGTTCGGCTGGCTGCTCACCTGTGTGCTGCCCACCCCAATTATTCGCCATGACAGGTGGGACCCTCACACTACAAGCTGTATAATCATCTCCATCTACACCCCATCACCATTTCCAAAGCTGACTGTTTTTCTTTTCCTGCAGTGAAGGAAATCTCGCCACTAAACAAGTTGTTTTTCTTCAAAGACCTGTCAAAGGCCAATCGGTACCACAGCACAATCAGGTACCCCTTTACTAGTGTCAGTTTTCTTATTAGTCTGTCAGAAACAATTATATGTATTTACAGTCTATTTTTGTGAGGAAGAGTAACTGGGAACAATTTTTTTAAACAATCCAGTGTTATTTATATAACATTATTGTATTTATTAATGAGTAGCTTTTATTTTTACATTTTTTTTTTATTTTTGTTAATGTTACATTTGTAGTGTTTTACATTTTATTTGCTTTTGTCATTTTTGTTAGTCTTGTCATTTTATTATTTTTTTATATTATTTATTTATATATTTATATTTATATTATTTAGGTTTAATTTGTTTTAATTTAATTTTTAGTTTTATTTTTTTTATTTTTTTTACAGTGAATAATTTTCGTGATTCAGTTTATTTCAGTTAGTTGCCAGCAGGGTTATTATGGTTAACTTAAACTAAACCATAAAAAAAAAAGAAAATAATAATAAAATAAATAATTATAACTTAATTAAAATAATTACTTGAAACAAAATAAAGGTCACATGAAATAAAATTAATATATGAAATGATATATTCATATGTATATATAATGTTAACACAGATATTGTACTATATTGTACAAACTAATACAATTAAAAAAACATGAACCAAAATTAAAGTGATAAATATACTAAAACTTGAACTAAAATTAAAGTGATAAATATACTAAAACTTGAACTAAAATTTTATATATATATATATATATAAACAATTAAAAAAGTTAACAAATACTATCATAGTATATTAATGATACTAAATTTACACTGATTGGTTTCAGATTTCTATATTTTGTTTCATCTAAAACATATTTTTTTATTTCAGCTTTGTCAGTTCACAAATTTTTTTTAAAACCCTTGTTTTTGTTCCTCCAGGGAAGCACACGGCGAGAGGTGTCCAGTCACTCTGTGAGTCGAGGTGTGGAGGAAGCGCACAAAGAGCTGTCGTCTCCATGTTCAGGGGGGATCGGTGGTTTCCCAGTGTTTGGAGGAGGGTATCTCAGCGCACTCTCCCACCTAGATGAGGGAGGATTTGAGCCAGACGATGGGGCAGCAGAAGTCACCTGTATGTGACGCACCGAATCAAAGATGCAATTTGTTTTGTCCGACAGATACCTTTGATGGTTACGAGCTGCAACTACACCACAAGGACAAAGAGATTGGCATTCTTGTATTAGAAACGGACTCATAGCACTTTTAACTTTTCGTAAGTTATTTTTTAACAAGCCATAACGTATCATAGAGGTCAGTTTTATTTTACCCTTTCATTTTTAATTGAAGGCACAAAGTATGTGCAATCCTTCTCTTTTCTTGACACAAAGTATCAAAAACAGCACTGAAAGTCACTTATTTACAACAGCAGTATTTCACAGCACTCGCACGACACAACTACATGTACAGTTCATATCACATTTGTAGCACAATAACAACACAAAAGAAACAAGAAAAAGGCTTCAACACCTCAACAAATCTTTTTTTCTTCTTATCACCGAGTGTCCTTCCTCACTGTTCCTTTTTTACTTCAAACCAACTGACTATTGAGTTGTTTGTTCATTTGGTGTGCATATTTGGGACATGCTAAGATTTGTTTTGCAGGAATTTTCCAGGCCTTGGAGTCAAAACATCAGGAATGCTCAATGCAGCTTGGGACACCAGTGTTTAAGGGAAATGCATACGCACTGTAAACGTACGACGTTTGAGGCAGGACCCCATGAACTAGCCTGCGCTAAACCCAGAACTTGGTGCTGTAGTTTGGTTTATCTGATCTCTGCCATGAACTCAAGTGGTGGTTGTTGAATTTGTATGTTAATCTCCTAGGAATTTCTGCTAGCCAAAAGGGAAAGGTGATTTGCATGTAAAGAGGCAACAATTCTGTTTTACTCTGACTTTAGTTCTCTTCAGCCTGGTGATCAAGACTTATCAGACTGGATTTTTTATTTTTTAAGCTGCAATGGTGCTGCTTGTGCCACCTTATTCACTTGTACATTGTATAATTTTAACTGAGTTAAGCTCTGTACTTTTTGCATCGTATATTGCCTTGACAATGTTTATCCCTCTTTGAGGAACGGCAGAATAGAATAAGCACGTTTGAGCTGGCAAAATAGATTATCAGGCTGCTGTAATTGTTTGATGCCTGGAGAACCTATTAAGATGTTTCTTCACTCCAGAAGCGGAGCTCAGATATTTCAAAATTATATTCTAATATGCCAGAACTGATCAGTATTATTTACCAACTGTAGTATTTGAACGCTGACCATTTTTTGTAATATTTTATTAAATAGGTATTTACCTCATTTTAAAGTGGCTGTTTGTGTTGTTACTTCACGCGACATAAAAAGCTAACACGTAAGCGTAAACTAGGTACAAGTCTTTTATTAACAATTGACATAATGAAAATACCATACATTTTAATTCATTTAAAAAAAAAAAAAAAAAAAAAAAAAGGACGAAGTGGGCCAGGTAAGAACCCTCCACCCATGTAATAACTTAACAACAAGGGAAAAGACAGGGTGAATATCACCAGACTTGTTATAGCCGAGAGAGGGGAAAAAAGAAAGGAAATTCTTATTGGTTAAGCAGGATTTACAATGGAGATGGAGTGAGATATATACAAGGAGCTGCTGATGTTGTTACATTTTGACTGTTACAGCTGAATGAAGAGATTTGGATCAAACAAAGCATTAGTGAGTGGAAAAGTAACAAAATGATTAAAGTTGTATGCCTCTGCTGTCTGGATGCAAGAGGCTGAAAATGCACAAGATACAGATCAGGCGTCACTCTCCCCAGCAGTGGCACTCTGGACTTCCTCTTCCAGGATGGGAACAATGAGGTTATCCTTAGACATTAGGTTGTACTTCATCACGAAACGAGTGAAGCGGTGACACAAGAAAGTCTCATTCTGTGGGAGAGAGATAATACAATGTCAATCGGATGCCAATCTGAAACACCTTTTAGGAAACTGCCTCCTACTGACCATAGCAGGAATTGTTGCCAGCATGAACAGAAGTTGCTTTGTCATGAACACTGTCATTATCATGCTTAGAGGCCATTACATTAAAGTAAACGCTAAGACAGAAATCTCCTAAGTGACAAACTGGAAACATTCTTAAAGGGATAGTTCACCCAAAAATTTAAATTCTGTCAGTATTTACTCACCCTCATGTTGTTCCAACCTCGTAAGACCTTCGTTCATCTTCAGAACACAAATTAAGATATTTTTTATTAAATCTGAGAGCTGGATCACTCCTCCATACTAGTCCATAGGCTTGTGGAGGGATTGAAACTTGCCGGCCTCAAAAAGTTATTAAAGACATCGTTAAAATAGTCCAAGTGACGACAGTGGCTCAATCTTAACTTTATCAAGTGACGAGAACACTTTTTGTGCACAAAAAAAAAAAAATTAAACGACTTAAACGACAAAAAATAACGACTTTATTTCAACTGTTCCATTCGTTCTCACTGGGCGATCTGTTGTTGTACGTCACACGCATCGCAAACATGACCAGCGTCAGCCATAATGAGCCTACGCGTGACGTTTAACTGACTAGAGGCCCAAAGAGAATGAAATTAGTCGTTATTTATGTTTGTTTTTGCACACAAAAAGTGTTCTCGTCGCTTGATAAAGTTAAGATTGAGCCACGGTAGACACTTGGACTATTTTAACGATGCCTTTAATAACTTTGAGGCCGGCAAGTTTCAATCCCTCCACAAGCCTATGGACTAGTATGCAGGAGTGATCAAGCTCTCAGATTTCATCAAAAATATCTTAATTCGCGTTCCGAAAATGAACGAAGGTCTTACGGGGTTTGAACAACATGAGGGTGAGTAAATACTGACAGAATTTTCTTTTTTGGATGAACTATCCCTTTAATGAGCAGCAATTCCTGTTGTGGTGCAAAAACATACAATTGCTCTGTTGAGCATAAAAATACTGCACACAAATATTGGGTTGCATGATTGAAAACAGTTGAATGATTGAAGTATGTTCTCCTATTTTTCAAGAGGTTCAGTAGTGTGAAATGATGCAGAAAAAGGCAGTGCAGTAGGTTTTGGAACAAAGCTGATATTGTGTTTTATAAAATCTATGCTCATGAATAAAACAAAATTTTTAAAAGGTTCTTGCTTACCTCATACTTGTCAAAAATCTGGCGATGGTGAAAGTATGCATGGGAGAAGATCCTATAGATGCGACGGCAAACCGAGCCCAGTTTGGCCACAGATGATTCCTTAATGCTGACGCTATACGGAAAGCAGTGAGAGGATCAGTGGCTACACAAACAGAACACCAAAGGCTTGTTTACAGCTAGAAAATCCTAGAAATTAACATAGTAATGCATGGATGCTCAACGCGGCTCATAGAGGACTTTCATTGTGCATTGAAAAGTTTGAACTCTGTAAATATCTTTAATAATATTAATAATAGAAATTTGGTGTAGTAAAAAGCCTAATTCCTATTTAGTGATTAGTATCACTGCCATGATTGAATGATGCATATAAATGACAGGTTTGAAGATATATTGCCACCCATAAGCAGAAAATAAATCAAGTCAAAAACTAATCCAGTGTGTTTGAGCAGAGCTGGAACTAAACCCTGCAGGAAGACAGATCTCTAGGAGGAACAATGAACACCCCTGCTTTAATAGATTAGATGTTCAATAACTCACCGGCTGGGAAAATACTTGTTGCTGTTAAGAAGACACGCAGCTCCATCGAGGGTGTGCCTTGTGTAGTCGATGGCAGGGCACTGTGAGCCACACAAACAAACAAATCAACATAAGACACAATCATCTATACTTTAGCTTCTCCAGATCAAGTCGGTTCAGAAATTCATTAGGCCTAATCAATAATAAAAAAATAACCAATAACAAATGTACATTGATTAATCACATTCTGCTCACAGAAAAAAAAATATATAAATAAAATATGGTATTTTTATTCGATTAACTGAATACTAATCAACTGATTATTGTTAGCTGCAGCCCTAAAATTTCATACATGTACACTTTAAGATCATGTCTTTTTTTAGAGGTTTTTTAAGATCATGGGAAACATAAATTCAGTCTTTCCAAACTGTTGACACAGAGGACACTCACCTCTTTGGGAGTCTTATGGGCAGCACACAGAAAGATCCACTGCTCAGTGGCCGTCATCTGGGTACATGTGTCCGGATGGCACTCATTCTATGGCGGAAAGTATTATAAATATTTTAATATTAAAATGTATATAATATTAATACAGCTGTAAAGGCTGTCAACTAAACCAACCTGGTATGACAAGGAGTCATACGTCAATTTTTATTTGAATAGAGTTAGTGGTGCACGATATATCGGCCGCCGATATAATATCGTCCGATTTGGTCACTTTTTTACACATCCGTATCGTTCCGATGTCAACAGGCCGATGTGAACGAACAGGCCGATAATCATTCCTGTGTATTTGACGTGTGTAGATGTGAGTGTGGGGGCGGGGATGTTTGTTTTTGCACAAGTGCTGAGCGAGAGTCCTGTCAGTTTAAACGTCAAGCACAAGAAGACTGGAACTTGCGCTGTTTTCTGTCAGCCTTACTAAGGCGTATTTTTGTCCCGCCAAAGCCTTTTTTGACCGGTGAGTGATGTAGATGACTGACTGCTGAGCTTGTTTAACTGAGAGAACGAGTAGAGAGAGTGAAAGCCTCGGTCGCGCACAATCTCGCCTTCTTCAAGCTGTCTTGCTCTCTCTCCCTCACTCACACATATTAATGAATTGAGTTGACTGAATATCTTTGAGAATACACATTGATGAAAGGTCAGAAAAACAAAGTTTTTTTTCTGAACTACCACTGGTTGTGAATTGTGCTAAAATAACGTTATCTTCTCTGAAAAGCTTTCCACAAATTCAGATGACATAAACCACAATTTCAATAAAACAAAATAGAAAATCTGTGTAGTGATGAAATGTTTTCTGTGTTGAGACAAATCTTGTGCGAGATCTTAAACTGCCTGGATAATCACACAAAGTGTGCCGTGGTCCGTTAATGACATGTCCGATTCACAAACTAATGACTCATTTGAACCGATTCACTTTAATGAATGGTTAAAACAACTGATCTGTCCATCACTGACTGAACTCAAGAGACATAAATCGGAAACACTTTACAGTAAGGTTCTATTTTATAGTCTAGTTAACTACATTAGTTAAAATTCTATTAATATTAGTTTCTATGCAGATTTGCTTCATGACAAAACCACCCCAGTCATTCTAGAATGATTCATTCTTTCCAAATAGAGCTATTCGAGTCATCCGGTGAATTTGTTTTTATTTTGCAATATTTAATCACAGAAAAAAAAAAAATATCATTTTTTGTCATTTTCAATGTCATTTTTTACCAATATTGTGCGGCCCTAATCTTTTCTATACAAAGATATCGGCATCTGTAAATATCGGTATCGGCCATAACAGCAATATCAATCTCGGTTATCGGTATCGGCCACAATTTTTCACACCGTGCATCACTAAATAGTGCAGTACAGACTACTTGAGTAGTTTGTGAGATAACAGTAATAGTTGTAAGAAAGATAATTACCTGCAGTTTAACTGCCAAGCCATTGAGCTCCAAGCAGAACTGTCTATATATAAAAAGCACATATTTACAATTACACTATTCCCAGGGACACTGCAACAACAAGTGTATGATAACATTTTGTGGACCCACTTTATATTAAATGTCTTTAACAAGTATGTACTAACAACTAAATTACTCATTTGAAAAACAGTGCACTTATTGTGTACAAAAATATTTTTGTTGTACTTAAAAAATACCTGTAATTACAGCTGTTTTCATTTCCACATCAATAACAGCATTCGTGTTTTGCAATTCAACATTTCGACATAAATAGTAGATAAAGACAATTAATATAAAGTAGGACCCATTTAGTCATCAAAAACAAATGGAATACACATAGTCATTCCAACACTAAAATATGTGAAGGATTAAATGGTCAGAGTTTTAAAGATTAATCAGAGATTAATAATATACCTGAGATGTTCATATTTCCACACCCCCTCATCCTGTCCCTCTGGGGGCTCCATAATCTTCTCTATGTTGGAACAATCTGAGCGGATGTTCTGCTGAATATACTGAAAAGGAAAAAAAACATTACTATAAATTACTTTTAGAATTTTACTTTACTTTTAAGAAATGTGAGTTGCATGTCTTTTCTTCCCTATTGTGATGTATATAAGTAAACAGCTTCTTGAGCAAGAATAAATGTAGGGCAGAACTTGATTTTGTCAGTTGGGATATGATTGTATTGTTGTGGTATACTATTGCTCCAATCTCACGTGAGTGACAGGGGTTCCCGCCCTAGCACCAGTTCCTCATGTAAAATTACTGTACTGCTTAAAAAGACTTAGAATATAGTATAATAAGCATAGTGACAAGACAACTTCTACAGTGTTATTTTTAGAGCTTGACAGTCTGTGTTGAAAACAGCACCTCTAAAAAATATTATTTTGTGATCCACTCAAGTAAGAAAAGTTCTCACCTGTTGCACTGCCAGGGTGCTGTCCATCTCTTCAAAAGACTCATCAGACCAGTTATAGAAGTCCTAATTTAAAAAAAACAGTTTTAATAACATGTTATTAGGGCTAGCACTAGGATAATCCACACAACTGTATTAATTGCTGTTGACAGAACATCTTTGATAGATATACACTTCAAGGGAATTTGAGACAATTTACTACAGTTCATCTTACGTTGTAACCATAATCTGTATCTATACTAAATCCGTGATAAAATGTCCCGATGGTTTTGTCAATTGCATGAAGTATTAGTGAGTCAATGCAGCAGAGGCTTCAGGACTCGCCTATTTAATGTTATATTAAATCAAATATATTTTAAATACAATAATGTAAGATATATAAACATTGCCAGTTGTGTGCATCCGGGAACTTTCGAACGGCTGCTGCTAAGTTAGCTGACTGCTGTTAGCCAAATAACTAAATCATGAAAACCTGCTATTTCTAACACCTTCTAGCATATATTTCACAGCATATTCGCCTACTTACAAAAGAGAAACTAAAAACCTATTATGACCAGATTAATTTAACAGAATATTCAGGTAAAACCCTTCAATTGAGAATCACTGGTCTTCACGGTTAACTGGTAGCTTAGCTATTTAGCATATCTGCGGCTTCCGCTCCCATGAAAACAAATCATTTTTATTTTATTATTACATTGCAAAATACCTTGAGAACTCATTTGAGCTTGGAAAACGATTTAAATTGTTATTCGTATGTTCATTTTACCTTCGCCTTGGTGCCTGGTCTATTCCTCCTCAGAACAGCTGTGCCCTCCGCCATGACCATCTCGACAGATTTAGAGTTTGATTGACAGCGCGCTCCCCCAATGGACGAGTAGAGCTACTACAGGAAGAGCCCAGATTCAGTGACCCCAAAAAATATTGGACAAAATGCTTGTCATTGGATTGCATCGCAAAAAAAGTTGCAATTATTTTTAAACATGTCAAATATTCTCATCCTTGCCGCTGAGAAGGCCATTATGCACTGATACTCTCAGGGTTTAACAGACCTGGGGCCAGTTGTACTAACACAGTCATCATGTCTTAAGAATTAGTCGTCTGAACAACTAGCAGTTAACCAATGGACATTTCTTTATCAGATTTGACCAATGATTTAAAAATGATTTTGTAAAATGTCTATAAAAACTAATGACTTAAGTGTAATAGCCTAAGGCTAAGCGGTTTATGAAAAGTGGAAAAACTCTAGGTGGCATCTCACATGACTTTTACTCCTTCCATCTAGCAAGTCCACAAAGACCTGACTAATAAAGTAGCCAACTGTAAGCATAATTATCCCTTATGTTCTTATTTTAAAAGCCCTTCTTATACAAATGAAAAGCCTTGTATCCATTCATATTTATTTTGCTGCATGTTTTGATGGTTTTCCTTAATTACAGCCGATGTAAACGTAACTTCCCATACAACAATACTATCCTTTTTAGATCTATCCACCAACACTATATTTCTATTTAGCTACTGTATGTCAAATAAGAAAAAGCCATTCTTCAGATGTCAATCATTTTTAATGAACAAAAATGTAATGTCAGTTGAAAAAACACATTTTATATAATGAATTATAGTGATTAAAAAGTCTAGGAGTCTGATTACTTTCTGAAGGCACTGTATACTAATTATGTTAGTTATACCTTCTGATCACATCCTGCAGCACATATTCATAATAAAAAGGAAATTAAAGATATTCAGTAAAACAATTTTTCAAACCCTAGCATTAGCAATTCACAAGTTATTTTATCATCACAGCCCAAACTCCATCTGAATTAATTATAAACTTGTACAAAGTTAAGAATATAATTAACACTTCCACAGTCCACCCACATAATCAATTCCAAACTGTTCTGTTACAAGAAGAAGCAAAGACGAAACATCAAGATCACTTTATTTGAACAAAACATGATCATACTTATTTACAATCAAATGACATAGAAAAAAAAGAAAACAAACATTGAACAGCCATTCTTTCTACAAACTCCAGAATGACGCAGATGGTTGAACAAGCAGACTTCATTCTACATATTTGCCAAGAATATCTCCATCCCGGAAAAGAAAGTAGTCCTGCAAAAGAAAAGAAAATGGCAATTGTATAATCAAGTAACTTTTATGCAAATTCGAATTTAGTTAAATTACAAAAAACAAATCAATCTAAGCATGGCAAATGTTCTAACCTTTTCTTCAAGTACAATTTTAGTTCCTCCGTACTCAGGCAGCAAAACTTTATCTCCAACATTGACACAGACAGGTGTTACTTTCCCATCCTGAAAGACAGACATTATTTAAACTCTGAAGTACAACCTATATATCTCAACAATCAGAGATTCAATCAGACCATTTAACATGATTAACTCTGATTAAGTTACCTTGTTGGTGAATCCTGGACCCACTGCTACCACTGTAGCCTGTTGCACTTTGGCTTGAGACTTTTCTGGAATCATGATGCCTCCTTTAGAAACGGTCTCTGCGGCAAGCCGTTCCACCAACACGCGGTCGAACATGGGAAGGAATTTCCGGAAAGCCTGCTGTGGGGTAAAGAAATGCTTAGTGCAATGTAGAAATAGTCAATTCATGTTTTGCAACACTGTAAATGTTCCAAAGAACAAACACCCACCAGGGGGCGTTACAGACCAGCTAAGCAAAAACCAACTGTTTTAAAGTCTTTTCCTTCTCTTATGAGTTCTTGATTTCAGTTATAATAAAATCTTCGATTGACCTTCTTTAAAAGACAATTTTTAGTCTGCTAAACTAGATGCCAAGCAGACAACTTGGAGACCATCACCCTGTACACAGTTTCAAAGACACGAGCTGCTTGTCTGAGAACAGATGTGTGTGTTTGACCTTGAGAGAAGGTCGTGTATGGAGGAGGGTAGATGGAATATAAGAGATGTTGAGGGTTCATGTAGGGGAGGAGAAAAGTTTGGAGGTTTTGTAAATGTTTACCATACTGGTGAAGGACAAAAGGACAGGCAACAAGATAACCCCAACCCCCAAGGCTGAACAGTTAGGAATGTAGAAGATTCTAGAATGAATCAGCTGTGTATTTTACCTAACCGTATAAAACATGTGTGATGAATTACAATGTAATTCAACTTACAAATGAAGTTTCCAATTGTCTGGTTAGTAGCCAATGAAGTATGCGCACATACTTTACTACGCTATGGCAGTTTATCACAAGGGTTAACAGACACAGATAACAGTAATTCTTATATACAGATACAGTCATTCAAGAGAATACTACATCTGTATGCCTCAAACTAACTAAAGACAAAACACAACAGTTACTGTGCGTCACAAATCACACGTGTTCACTCCATTCAAAATGACCCGGAAGTTCATATGTTGCTAAAATGCCATTGGTTGAAATTATCTTGGAGTTTAGCTGAACGTGAAAACCCGATTCACGTTTTCTACGTTAGTTATGATCATGTAAATATGTTCAGTTTTCAATAAGCAAGATGTAACAGATACCTGCAAACAAATATACTTTATACGCGTGAACAAATATTCTCATACTAGACTGTCATTTGAAATTTTAAGCAGCAAAATAATTATACAAGCTTTTAAACAATACTATACTAACGTTAAGTCTATAACGTTACTTGTCTAAAAACAGCCATCATTTAGCATTTCATAAAACAAACCGGTTTACCTCCGAAAATCCCTTATCCTGGTGACAGAAAATCACGAATTTTACGTGTCACAATTTTACACTTTTCGTGTACTAAATAACATACTTAGCATCACATCATTGTCACATATAAGTCAGAGCATTGACTAACGTTATATTACTAACCGTGACCTTGCAGTTGCAATTGATGGGAAGATTATAAAACATTGCGCGATCTCATTCACAAAGACCAAATCATTATTGAAACAACTCATTCAGATGATGCAGCTAGATGAATTATTTTACGTGTCTTACCATTTTAGTTGATCTTTATGAAATGAGCGTGCGGCAGAGAGGCATAAGACAGTCACACTGGATCACTTCACTGTTCACTCCTGCGATCCACGTGAAGAAGAAATGTCTGGAAGACCACTGCGCATGCGCCAAAACACAATCCTTACCGTGCCCGTCCTGCAATCTAGAATGTTCCTCGATCGCCTAAAAGTTGCACAAAGGCATTTCAATACATATTTATTTTTTGTGCAATTTCTATTCTAAAAAGAGGACACAATTTAAAGTGGATTACAAATAACCAAAGAAGTAGTAATAAACAAAATAAAGGTTGTGAATGATAAAAGTGGGAATATAATACAATAAATAACAATAAACACTGATAATTCTATAATACAAAGTACAAATATATTATAAAACTATTAACAAATCCATAGACATTTGTAAAACGCAATAAAATCGGTGGTTGCACAACCATGACCTCTGACGTTATTTTTTCTCCAATGGAATCAAAGAAATTTCTCGAACCTGATGCCCAGGAACGAGCATAATAACAATTGAATGGCCAATTTTTGTATAATTTATTTATATTTTCCCTCAGTTTGAATAAAATGTGTTTAGTGTCATTGGGGGGGAAAGCAAATGAAAGGATTAATGTATTTATCGAGAATAATCATATATTGAATGAGAGTATTGTGTTATTCAGATGTCAGGGCGGCGGGCAGGTTACCCGGATGAAGAACACATGTGCACAAGTGTAACTGCAGCAAATCTAAAGCAAGCGGCTCTTCATCTTAGATCATTCAGTCTGCTGTGCTGACGGTCACGAGCATCCCTTCATTCACCTCCAGACCACTCTGCAGTAAGTCATTTAGACAATTATCCACCTCTATAAAAGCATATGAACTTACTATATTGCATAATGATTTTTACAGGCCTGGTAATATTTTTTACAGGCCTGGTAATAAGTTATTGAGATCAAACAGGCAGTACGTAACACCATCATGTAACGTTAACGTTAATGCAAGGACTGTCAGTTTGTTTCATGGATTTGAATATAGCCTCGTGCATGTTTATTGACTAGTTAGCTGTCATTTAGGCATATTTTAGTACATTTATACGTTATTGTAAATGCTGCTTATCAGAATTAGACTAACAAACGTGTTTCGCATAACATACACTGCTTAACCATTATCATGCATTGCTGATTATATCTGCTGCATTGACTAACGTTAAGTTACTGTTTTATAAGCAAAATAAGTAAAGCGCAGTCTTACGAGAAATATAGTGATGATTATCTCGCATGCTAACTAACTGTAGCAAATTCTATGAAACTGAGGCCTACGAATATTATATATGTATGGAATCATTAATCGGTGTCAGGGTAAATATGTACAGTTTTAACAAAACTAAAGGACACCCCGGGAAGTAACGTGAACTCATGGAGATGAAAGGGATCATTTCCGTCTCTGTCGTGACGCGGAGTGATTTTGACCTTGTGACGGTCGCCCTGAACACACGTGGGGTAAATGAGGGACTCCGATAGACAGTAATAGAACTCTGCATCTTCACGTTTACGTGATCACACAATTCAGTTTAGTTGACGCTTTAGCCCTGCGGTATAAAACCTTTTTTCCTGTTTTTTTTTGTTAATTATTTTTTTTATCTGGTTTTTATCTTTTCTTTTTTTTCCCGAAACATTATCACTGAGAACTATGAAATTGTGATTGTCTGCTCACAATTACTTAATCGGATGAGTAAATCAGGCAGTGTAATCCATTGAAGGACCAGCGGGGGCAAAGTCTAATTTTTGGAATCTGGTGTGTTATCATGTGACCTCGACAATAGACTTATTTTTGTATGTGGTTTAAGGAAAAAAAAAAAGTATTTTCTTATAAATTAATACATTACTATGTATTAATGTATGCTGTCGTTCAGATATCACTAAAATCCCTATGACAAATTACATTAGTCTGTGACTAGGCTATGTAAATCAATAAAGAAGCTTGAGTTGTGGCTGCTGTCTGTGGATATTTGCCAATCAGAAACGGCTGTGTACCACCCTCAACCAATACCATGAGTTTTGGGCGGGGCTACCTGTTAGTTTAAATGATTGGTTCTAAACCCAGGCCAAGGTAAACCTCCAAGGGTGACTAACAAAGACAAAACAACTAAAAATTCACATTTCATATTTTAATTTAGTTTTTAGTTTTTGAAGAACCAGTATTTCCAGGGTGTTGTAAAATCTGGATACGTGAGGAAGCCTCATTCTCAAAGTGGGAGTTCTATGTAAATTAACAAAATCTTGTGGGTATTTTTTTATAAAGAATTGGCAAGATTTTTTGATATAATAAAAATATTTTAAAAAATAATTATCCTTATGCAATAAATAAATAAATTACAAACAACCAAAAAAGCAGACAATGAGGGGCATTTGACCCTAAAAGTTAATAATCATTCCCCTTCAGAGAACAATTTTTTTTTTACTAATATTTTAATGGTGTAGAAAAAATCACTTGTACTTTTTTTTCTTTTCTTATATCAAATGTAAATCTAATGTTTCTAATGTTCTCTCTTTCTCTTAGAAATGCTGCGTTTACCTAGTGTAATGAAACAGATGAGGCCAGTGTGCAGGGCGCTGGCCCCACACTTGACTCGTGCATATGCCAAGGACGTCAAGTTTGGGGCAGATGCCCGGGCCCTCATGCTTCAGGGTGTTGACCTTTTGGCTGATGCTGTGGCCGTCACTATGGGACCAAAGGTATGCTTAGTTTGACAAGTTTCTAGAGGAATGGCAGACATGTTATTGCTCTTAAAGGGCTAGTTCACCCAAAAATGAAAATTGCGTCATTAATTCCTCATCCCCATGTCGTTCCAAAGTCGCGAGACTTTCGTTCATCTTCAGAACACAAATGAAGATCCTTGTTGACATAGGGACAGAACTAGTCTCGCGTAGCCAGACCTTCAGACTGACGGCTGAAGGTCTGGAATTCATAGCAGCTTTCTTTGGTCAAGGCCCGCCCATAAGGCCGTTAGACCGACATGTCAAACAACCAATTACAGTTCGTTTCGTTCAGCGTCATGTTTCGGGGCGTGGAAATGTACCCACAACAACAGACCGGTGTGCAACAAGTCAGTCAGCAGTCACCGGAGGCGCTAACAACGCTCCGTGTTATTAAATTCACCCACGAACTCGCTCATGTCCATCTTATGTCTGCTTTGTCACACGAATGTAAGTTACGTCCCCGCCCCAGTGCGCTCACACCTACTAAATAAATGCCTCACCTCCGGCGCCGCGCACTCGCTACATTCCCTTTAGCCTTTAGCACATCTAGTGGATGCATAACGCAAACCCAGTCAAACGTTTGACTCTGCAGTATCTTATGTGCCTTATAATCCAGTGTGCGCGACCTATATATGAATACTGAATCGGCCAGCTGCGATGTCAGCGTCTGTTTCATGTTTGTCCACAAACGCAGCTGATATACCCTTCGCAATTAAGTACTTCACTTGATCTTCCATAATAGATTGGAGGGGACATACAACTACGTTTAGCTGATCTTGAGAAATGCTCATTGTCACTCACATAGGCCACTCATATAAACACAACAGTTTTTCTTCCGCAATCACACATCTGCGCTTTGTTTCCCGGCGGACCGAAAATAAACGCGACACTGACGCCCCCCGGAAATCCGATAAAATTCAACCAATCAGATGACGTTTTCGACATTCCTGAAGTGTTTCCAGTTAAGTGTACCATATGCATCAGACGTTTAGCCAACGTTCCGTGGGCGTGACGTCTGAGGCTGAGACTAGGACAGAACTAAGTTTTGGGTGAACTTTCCCTTTAAAGCCAAGTTTGTAATCATTAATGAAAGAAACAACTAGATTGTCCTCTTTCCTTCAGGGTCGCACCGTCATCATTGAGCAGAGCTGGGGAAGCCCCAAAGTCACCAAAGATGGTGTCACGGTTGCTAAAAGTATCGACCTGAAAGATAGGTATAAGAACATCGGGGCCAGGCTGGTACAGGACGTGGCCAACAACACTAATGAGGAGGCTGGTGACGGCACTACAACCGCCACAGTACTGGCACGTGCTATTGCCAAGGAGGGTTTTGACACCATCAGCAAAGGCGCCAACCCTGTGGAGATCCGTAGAGGAGTCATGATGGCAGTGGAAGAAATCATCAGTGAACTTAAGAGACTCTCCAAGCCAGTCACAACACCAGAGGAAATTGCTCAGGTAAAAAGTGGTCTTAAATTCGGCATGAAATTGTAGTTGCGGTAGTCTTTTCCCAATTGCAATGTATATCCAAGTGAAAACTTCTCAAACAAGAAAAAAATAAGGGCGGGACTTCAGGGAATTGTTTGGATTGTTGTGGTTTGCTATTGCTGTGATCTCATGTGAGTGTTAAGTTGTCCTACCCTTGCGTTGGTGAAAGTATCAGAAAAGAAATAGTTGCACGAGGAAGGGGGAAGTTATTCTGATTAAAGCATGTGAATTAATAAAAATAAATATGGCAATATAAAATGGAATAAGAATGGTCAGTTTAGATTTCCTGGTGACCTTAACCTTAAATATGGTCTTTATATACACACACACAATCAATCTTTTTTTGATACAGGTGGCCACTATTTCTGCCAATGGAGACATTGAAGTTGGTAACATCATCTCCAATGCAATGAAGAAAGTTGGACGCAAGGGTGTTATTACAGTGAAGGTAGGCTGCTACAGTGAAAGTAGTATTTAGTGCAGATGGAATGATGGTTTGGTCCTTAAAATATCTCAGACTGAACTTTTATTCTTGTTTAAAGGATGGTAAAACTTTACATGACGAGCTTGAGATCATTGAGGGCATGAAGTTTGATCGTGGCTACATTTCTCCCTACTTCATCAACACTGCTAAAGGTGAGTGAGAATCTGTTTGAACAAAGCTTTCAAAAACCGACAATTTTTTTAATTTAAGTTAAAAAAAACATATTTATTGTTGGCCAATTTTGTTCTTGTATTTTTTTCTTTGTCAATGTCAGAAATGCTGTGTGATTTATATTTTTAACGGGTCACATATCAATTTAATTTTTATTTAATGCCAATTCAATATAATAATCTTATCAGTTAACGGTTAATAGTTGATTAACGAGCGGCGGTTGTCTGGATTATTAGGCCATTTTAAGTGGGAGAGGGATTTATTTATTTTTTTTCCCGGCCAATGTCCCGTAATTACCAGACAACGGAAACCCTGGTAAGAGTTCATGCATGTGTAGGCCTGGAGAGTCGCTATGCCTGGCATCATAATCTAGGTGCCTCAGTCCGCAGGATTGTCATAGCGATACACAGCAAGTTGCCATGGAGACAACCTCGATCAGGTTCCAGATAGAGTCAGCAATCACAAGGTGTATGGGGAGTCGGGGAAGGAACGTAAGAGCAGCTCACTGCAGTGCTCTTCTTGGGGAGTTGTTCCAATAGCGGCCTTGGCCAAGCCCTGTGCTGGTTGAGGGCGGCCATTTTGGTTTCCGAAACGATCCATTTGCTTTGCAAAGCTGTGAGCTTCTCCATGATGTAATCCATATTGTGGTTCATAGACCCAGTCTGAGTGTTGACATCTCTGCCCAGTTCTTCAATCATGACGGGCAGCCTTGTGAGGCTTTGAATAGCTGTCACTGTCTTCTTAATTCCTTGATTAAACCAGGACAATGCCCAATCGAATCTGCAGAAGACCTGTTATTATGGTTCCGGAAAGGTTGATCTCTTTAACGTCCTCCACGAAAAGAGCCGCCAAATACACGACCCGCCACCTCTCCCATGCTTCCATCGTGTAGCCTGCTGCAAATGTTACGGCAGTCAGGTTCCCCTGTTCCCAAGCTTCTCGTTGAGACCAGTTGATCAAAATCCATAATTTCTTAGTTTGGAGAGCACTGCTATGAGAGTCTCTCAAAGTACAAGACAGTAGACTAGACGTGACAAGGGGAGGGAGAGAATGCGACCGCTTTTATTGAAAGCACAGGAAGGTGAAACAACAGCGTTCATTCTCTGCTTCCAGGCCAGAAGTGTGAGTTCCAGGATGCTTACGTGCTTCTGAGTGAGAAGAAGATTTCCAGTGTACAGAGCATTGTACCAGCTCTGGAAATTGCCAACCAGCATCGCAAGCCTCTGGTCATCGTGGCTGAAGATGTGGATGGAGAAGCACTCAGCACTCTGGTCCTCAACAGGTTTGTTTCTCAAAAAATAAATAACATCAAGTCCACAAGAAATGTGTGAAAGGAATAAATATGAAAAAGAGCGAGGTTTTATGAAGCCTAAACTTCCAAAAAAGTCCTTTTACTAAGACTGATTTTGATTGCAATCTCTCACAAATAATACCACGTTAATTGTAATTAATACAATTGTAGTTAATTGTTTTTCATAAAAAATACTATTGTTATTAAATTATGGAATCTCCTTTAAACAGTTTTCAGAATCTTTGACATTAATTAATATATTAATTTATTGTTCCATTCATTTGTTTTAATGACTTTGGCTTCAAACAAAATGACTGATTTTGATTGTCACCCCCAACAAAAGATGTTGTTGTTGAATAAATAAAATGAAATTCTTAAATGTTTTCCAAATAGTTTTGAAGTTACATTCATTAAAATCATTATTTTTAGAAGTTGACAGAATTGTTAATAAACTACTATTACTAAATCTATCAAATATTTATTATATTTGTAATGACTGACTAATACTACTGTACATTTCCATATAATTACAAATATATGAACTACTCTAGTACTAGTATTTTGGTGGAAACCTATTTTCTTTTTTGTAAGGGATGGTTATTTTGATGTTTATGGATAGCCTGTTATTTAAAGGTTCTGGGTTAATAGGTCAATGCTAAATATCACCAACAGGTTGAAGGTTGGGCTTCAAGTTGTGGCAGTCAAGGCTCCAGGATTCGGGGATAACCGGAAGAACCAGCTGCAGGATATGGCAGTTTCCACTGGAGGCACAGTATGTACTTGTCTTCGTCTGTATTCATGATTTTAAATGAACTCTTTAAAATGTCTTACTTATGTGATGCATCAATGTATTGAATTGAATATCATGAGGTATTTGACATTGCCCAGTCTTTTAACACCCCTGAACTGTTTTTAGGTGTTTGGTGATGAAGCTATGGGTCTGGCCCTTGAGGATATCCAGTTACATGACTTTGGCAAGGTCGGCGAGGTCATCGTGACAAAGGATGACACGATGCTCCTCAAAGGCCGCGGTGATCCATCAGCCATTGAGAAGCGTGCGAATGAGATTGCTGAACAGCTGGAGAGCACAAGCAGTGACTACGAGAAGGAGAAACTCAACGAGCGTCTGGCCAAGCTCTCTGATGGAGTGGCTGTGATTAAGGTATGAAAGCAGGAAGCATGTAGCTTAGTGTAATGCATTTATTTACCATCGTCCTAATTAAAAATCACTATTCTCTTTGTTAGGTTGGTGGAACAAGTGACGTTGAAGTAAATGAGAAGAAAGACCGTGTCACTGATGCGCTGAATGCCACTCGAGCTGCTGTGGAGGAGGGTATCGTTCCTGGAGGAGGATGCGCCCTGCTCCGCTGCATCCCAGCCCTGGAGAACATCAAGCCAGCCAATTCTGATCAGAAAATTGGTAAGGACTAGAGATCTCATCCTCAGTCCAGACCCTAAAAGAAATAACTCTGTGTTAACTTTTTAAAACTGTCTTTTTTTTTTTTGCTTGCTCTTCCAGGTATCGACATTATTCGCAAAGCTCTTCGTATTCCTGCAATGACCATTGCCAAGAATGCAGGAGTTGAAGGATCTCTGGTGGTGGAAAAGATCTTGCAGAGCTCTACAGAGATTGGATATGATGCTATGCTTGGAGAATATGTCAATATGGTTGAAAGAGGCATTATCGACCCCACAAAGGTGTGTATGTGTGGTTGTCACTGATTTAAACCGATAACTTGTATCAAAGTGGCTTTTAAATGAAGTCCCCCTGTATTCAATAATTGTATCCCTAAAACTCCTCTTTGATGATCAAAATTGCAAAAATTATTCATGACTTAAAATTGTTTGAATGTAACTCAAATTAGCTCTGCCTCGACTCACACAAGCTCAGAGATCCACTCGCTAAACTTTACTCTATTAAACGCTGCACAATAGCAAGTGGAAATACTGGTATAATTCAGCCATAAATGTTTGAAACAGAAACTGATTCAGAAGAAGTGAAAATTATACAGGCTTGTCTAAGTCAATGCATTAGAATTGTAATGCGTTTTTATGTAATCCTGAATTTCCACATGGTTTATCTTAAAGCATATTAAAAACACCACATAATCAAGTTTTTAATGTTGTTTATATGTCTTTCACCTCAGGGGTCTAATATACCGTTACCGTATTGGCTGAAATTAAAAACAATGCCATTAAAACATTTGGGGTCAATTAAAAAAAAAAAGTTTTTGAAAGTGTTTTATGCTACCCCATGCTGCATTTATTTTATCAAAATGCATTAAAAATCAGTCATTTTTAATTAAAGTCCTTGCTCTGAATGTATTAATTAAAATAATAATAATAATCACACTGACACTAGATTTTAATATTTGTGATGCCCATTGCCCAATACATTTTAATGTATTGCCTAAATTCATTTGTAGCATTTAAACTTATTATTTTTTTATTTTTAAAATGGTATTGAATTTTAACATTTGCAATTTACCAGTTATTGGCTATAAAATTAAAATGTGCTTATTAGTATCTGCCAGAATTGTAATATCGGTGCATCCCTAACAAAAACGTAATGCTCTTTTATCAAAATGAATTTTGTCTCCCCCTGCAGGTTGTGAGGACGGCATTGCTAGATGCCGCAGGTGTTGCATCTCTGCTGTCGACCGCTGAAGCCGTTGTCACCGAGCTACCGAAGGAGAAAGAGGACATGCCGGCTGGAGGAATGGGAGGCATGGGAGGAATGGGTGGAATGGGAGGCATGGGATTCTAAACCGATTTGCACTGACTTTAGTGGAAGGGTTGTGGGCAGGGGACATGATTCGCCCCTCCCCTTCTACTTGGAAAAACCTGCCGAAACTGAGTGCTTGTGGTCTGAACACGGAGCAAAAGAAATGGACGTTACAGTCACCCATCCTTCCACCACTGGCCAATCTTATCTTTACTCATGGCTGAAGACATCACCCTACTTCTTTAAAGACAAGTTCCTGATGATGTGACCAGGGATAACGAGTCTGTTCGCCTTTGTTCTGTAACATTGTGCTCACTAATGTCTAATGGGAAAGTGCATTTAACAAATTGCATATTGTCATGTTGTTGTATCATGTGATATATAGCTGGTTCTGAATCAGACCATCTGTAGGGGCTTAAAAAGCCAGACATGGTTAAAGTCTGCCTTCATGAGCAAGAAAGTAGTTGAAACTCTGACCAGTTGTATCTTTTTTTTTTAAAAAATGCTTACAGTTCAGTTTTTTTTGTACATGGTTCATTTGTTTTCATATAGAAATAAAACCCTCATTTGAGGATAACTCTGACAAAGCATGTACTTGTTTTGCCTTTCAGTTAGTTTTTCCCACTGAATGGAAATACTTGGATATCAGCTTACAGAATTGTTTGGTAATGTTTTCATTTTTTTCTGGTTTAATATCTAAAAATGATAGTTCACTCAAATGAAAACTGTTATTTTCCATGTTGTTCCAAACCTGTTTTTTTTCTTCTGTTAAAGTTGATACTTTGAATACCAATGGGCTCAAAAAAAAAACCAAACAAAAAAAAAAAAAAACATTGGACTGACTTTTTATATATATATATATATATATATATATATATATATATACAGATATTCTCAATTTAAAAAAAAAGTTCTATACAGATATTCTCAATTTAAAAAAAAAAGTGTTATGACAGAATATTTTTGGGTGAACCAATCTTTTAAAATCTGAGTGTTAAACATCTTTTGGTCAAGACTACGAGTTTGTGAGGAAGGTTAAGTGGAAGGGTGGGTGAACCTGTTGCACATTAGTTTAAAAACAGACATATAAGCATATGCCCAATAATATACTGAAAACAATTGGTGTGAATTGATTTTAAAGATTAACTCTTCAGTAGTCTAGTGGTACAGAATCATGTGTGAAAAACTGCTGTTCAATAAGATAATTTTTGTTAGTTTTTTTAATGCTATATTCTCTATAAATGTGCAACAATGTTTTGTACAATATAGTCATTCTGTATTTTTTATTTAATAAAATTCAGTGTTCACAAAGACATTAATTTTGTCCCTTCAATGTCCTAGCTGTTCAGTGGCTTCCTTCTCTGGAAAATAATCTATTAAAATTAGTGATGAATTTAGCCTGCATCTGAAAAGTGACATGAGTATGTCTGAAATCACAGTACTCATAGAAAGAGTAGGCAAAAAGTCCCCAGATTACCTCTTCCAGTGAGATTCTTGGCGTGCGATGGACACTATTATCCCTTGAGGCTACAGGAGAGGATTTATGAATGGCAGTGAAGCAACGCAAATGATCCTGGTAGGTCACATAATAATTACAATATGGTGAATGTAGTACGTCCACATTCTGACGTAGCCTTATTGTAGTGATGGCTAGGACTAATGACTTGAGATATTTTCCCCCAGTTTCACGGAGAAGGCTTAAGCTTAAATACAAGACTAAAATGTATGTTTGAGCTGTTTTAACTGAAAGCAACTGGCACTGAAATATCTCAAAATATGTCAGTGCCAGTTCATAAATGTCTTAATTGAACTAAGGCGTAATTCTGGCTTAATCGAAACCCTGTCTGTGAAAACTCAAGGCTCAATTTCATCCACTGAAGAAATGATTGGAATTCTTTAAAGAAAATGAAAATGCATTCCATAGATACACACTCCTCAAAACACCAGCAGCCTTAGTGACATCAGCTGAAAACGAAAGTCGTGAAGTTTTGTTTTGATCATTACAAAGACAAACATTTGTTTCCTTTGTAATGGCCATTACCTTGTCCTTTTGGAGCTTGACAGTGCATTGTCAATAGTTAATTTAATGTCGTGTCTAAAAGAGCTGCATGAAGTTCTTAAAAAGGGAAAAAAATCTCCAAACAGGATTGAAGTAAATGACAGAATTTAATTTTTTAGGCGAACTAATCCAGATCAGTCGTTCATATACACTTCCTTTCAAAAGTTGGGTTTCAGTACGTTTTTCTTTTTTTAAATAAATCAAAACTTTTTTTTTTCAGTAAGGATGTTTCAAATTGATTAAAAGTGAGTTGAGCCATTTATGTTTCTATTTATCGATTTCTTTTAAACTTTTTATTTATCAAAGCATCCTACAAAAATAAATAATAATTATATAATTTTTTTAAAAAATAATAATAAAAATTGTTTTCTTGAACACCAAGTCAGCATAAGACGCCTGAGATCTAAAAGATCATGTGTAATTACAGTGTAACTATCTATTTAAGTACTGAGTAATATTAATTTAGAACATACTTACTATATTGTAAAGGTTAGGATTTAGGGTTTGAATTGAAGTTAATTGCATGTAATTATGCATATCTTGCTGTTATTACCTCAGTAAGGACAGTGTTACCAAAACATCTCAGGATGATAAATGACTGCTTCAATGGTCCAAAGGCTATGAATAACATAATACTATTATACTAATACTATTAAACAGCAGTATTACTTATATTATAATAATAATAGAAATTTAGTAGTCTATACAATGCAAAATAACCATTTCTTTCTGAGTAAAATGCTTCAGTTTGATATTTATACCATTGCATAATTAATTCCATTTCACACACACACACTATCTAAAACTAAAAATAGTAGGCATCATACGTCCATTCTGCACATTTTCATGACACTAATTTTCCATTCCAACTCAGTGTGTTGTAATTAGATCTTAGAGCCGTCACTGACACTGGCCACTAGGGGTCATAAAATGGGTTACTTGGAAGCCTTCTAATATTACCCCCTCACATGATCAACCTATTTTAAGTTTAGAAACTAGTCAGAAGCAAAACAAACCACACCAGACAAGGCTAAGTTTTACATATAAAAATAGTTTATAAACCATGCAGGCAGGATATATATTCACCCACAACACTCATTAAAACACCTCAATTAAAAGAAAAACAACAACAACAAAAAGATATCCCAAAAAAAAAAGAAATGAAAAAAAAAAAAAAAAGATTATTCTTTTGTTTTTATGTAGCTCAGTTGCACAATAAAGTTCAATCTGTGGTCTTACATCAGATATGTACACGTGGTTAACCCATAACCAAAATAAATATAGGATACACGGATTACACGCATTTAAGATAAGGATAAATAATATGTAACTTTCTCTGTAAAAAAGCAGTAATCATGATGATGTGAGCAGGGTGTGGATTGGAATCTTTAAAGGTCGGTGGCGACGGATATCTCACTACAATCTGACGAGAGCTCTGGGAAAGATTCGGTACGTTCTCTGTTCCCATAGTTTGGGCCCTTTTAAAAGCAGTGAATATCATATATGGGTGAGCAGTCTTAAAAAAAACATACAAATATATTGCACACCTCAAGGAGAGAAAAGCAGTCTTTACTATGGACACTTAAAATCATGAGATTTCACTTCCATCAGAGGAGTGAACTGGAGCGCCACCACCAGAAATAAACTGCACAAATTTGTGTAACGCAAGGCATTGTGTTTTTTTGTCAGCCTCTTAGCGTTTGTTTTTCCAAGCCTTAATTTGTGCTGGTATGCAAGAATACAACAGACCTGAGTCCGGTGTGCAGCCTTGATATCCTGATAGCGCTTTAAGTGCATTTGCCTGCAGTAACTGTCAGTCCTCTGCACGTGACGTATTCACTCAAATCGAGTCTCCTCGTCCCTTTTTCAAAATCATAAAGGATCACCTACAAGCTTTAAAATAAATACATCACTCACCGGTCACATAAACTGTGTAACGTGAGGAACAATCTTTCCATAATGCACTTTCAAATACCTCAAAATAATGTATTTTCGAAAGAAACCCATGACCTTTGTCTACTGTGCCATTCATGAAGCCATTATGGGTTTTGGCAGCTGTTTTTAAAACCACGTCAAGGTCCTCATATAAAAAAATACAGCTCCTGGCGCCATATTGACAGTGGGTTTTAAAAAAGTTAATATGGAGGTAGTGGGGCAGGGCTCAGTGGGGACAGCCCCCCATAAAAAGATCCAGCCATGTTTTTGAAATATTTTAAATCAACTGTTTTGTTTGGACCAGGCACTGACGATATTCAGTCACACAGCTTTCTCACTCTCTCGACTGTCTTTATAATACTCTAAATGTATGCGTTCGATAAAACCCCCAGTTCCCTGAACAACACCCCCTCCCCATCCGTCTGAAGCTGAGGAATGAACTACGTGTGGTGGACCTCATGGAACATGAGTTCACGTGGGATCTGTGTCTCTGGGCCAAACTGGTTGGCCGCCCGCCGCTCGAAGGCTGACACCATCTGCTTCACGACCTCGTCGAAGAAAACAGTGGCCAACTGAGAATGCAGGAGTGAGCGGAACTCAAAGGAAATCTAGAAACAGAAAGAAGCAGCGAATCACAGACAGTTCCACTTAGACATTATGAAGCTCACAAGTCGGGGTAAGTAATACCATAAACCTTCTAAGAGAGACCTAACATAAGCTCTAAGTTTGTTAAATGATGGTACGAGCTTGTGTAAAAGTCAGTGTGATGACTTATAAACAAAATAATTACAAAAATGTTTAACAGTCAAACACCAGAAGCAATGAAACTGATTGGTGAATCATGTTTCAGCATTGCAGCAATGCCACCGTTATGAAATCAAAGCAGTTCGTTTATGTAGGATACCATTATAAAGACACAAACTGATTCATTTACATTTTTCGCAGTGCTTTATGGGATGAGTAGATGTTTAATTTCCTCTTAAAGGAGAACTCCGGTGCAAAATGAACCTTTGGTCTAATAAAACATCGGTACCGTCCTAGTCAACCGTTCTCTGGGATTTGTTTTCATGATAATCGAATGTAAAGTGTTTTATCTCTAAAAACTGTTTGGCGTATAATGCTAGTACTGGGGGCATTAACTAAGTAAAAAGAAATCGCTAGTTTATACAACTAACAAGGCTCAAAATAGCCCCACACTAACACAGTAACATAATGAGGGTCCATACGTGCAAAACGAAGCATTGAGAACTTTGTATACACAAAGTGAACTGTCTTTATAAAGTATCTTATTAAACGGTCTGTACACTTACAAAGTTCTCAATGCTTCGTTTTGCATGTAGGGACCCTCATTTACAAAACTTCAGTTTTAAAAACATTCAACAAAAAAAAAAAGCACAGCTTAACCTGAGGATGAAAAACCAGTTTGTGCAAGTAATACTCACAGCAAAGTCAAGGGTGCATGTACGGGGGTAGCCAGGAAGACCAGGACTGAAGCGCCACACCGTCTCAAGGCTATTGAAAAGCTTTCCATCAGAGCAAGATGCCTTAAGAGCAGAAGATATTAGAAATGACTTGCAGCTCACAGATTATTAATCAAGTCTGATAACACTGTATATGTCACTAAATCACTGCCATCAATTCATACGATAGATCTATATTAAAGAAAAATGAAGATGTACATACCTTAACCAAATGAGGGCGGACTGTAGTAATGAGAGAGGTGTAGTTTTCTACAACAGGAGGGAAGCCCACAGTCAGCTTGGCCTTGCAAAATCCCGTGCGGCGAAATACAACGTCTGAACGCTTGCACCAGGGCACGAACAGCAGGTAGTCTTCTACCTTGGCCACAACTTCATACATTTCCTGCATTGAGTATCTGCATGCCATATAAAAGACAGTTAGCCAAGATAATACAATAATGCTCTGTGAAAATCACACCAATTGTTTTGCTTTTATTTCAGTAGTAGATGTCTTAGAGATGGATAGTTCTACGCAGACAAGTAGTAATTTGGCAGACACTTTAACTCAAACTAAGTGACTTGCAGTACACCGAATACAGTGGAGTAATCCAGGGTTAAGTGCTCAAGGTCACAATAGCTCATAAACTGTCTGATTACCAGCCCTGAGCTCCTTTAGCCATTACGTCACACCACAGAATCTACCGTTACAGTCAGCAATGACCTTTCCTATATATCTAACTATACCGGCATGGCAGCTCATAACCTCACTGCAAAAGAGATTCGATGATTTAAATATAACTCATCACCATAAAGGTGTGACCAGGTGTGTATGGTCAGGTCGATTCAGACAGCCAATCAGAT